TTTAAGACTTCATACGAACCTAGTGGCACATTTTTCCCTATCTGTACTCTAGATTAATAGGTTGCCTAACAAAACTTCACAGTATTTTTTTTTCCATGTGAGACTTTTTCTTTTCCCTCCATTTTGACCACTGACTAAATATACTCTGCACCAATCTGCAGTCACAAATGTTGTTCTTTGTCATTCTTGAACAGCTCCTATACACTTCTTTTTCTTTTGGAGTAGCCACAAAGCGGTCAGGGTGAATGACCTCACTTATTTATTTATTTATTTATTTTTTACCCCTCCCCAGCTAATTGGCTCTTGCAGGGTGGATTAAACCAGCTTGGCTCTCCCACCACGCACAGCCTCTCCTGGTCCCTGCCATTGGGGTGGGGGACAAGAGTGAGGGTTAGGAATGGCATGGTGGCTGTGGGCTACAGGATGTATCTGCTTCCTTCCCAGCAGGCCTCCATGTGACTTTGGTGAGAAGAGGACAGGGCCCTAACCTGCTGTGATTAATGAGTCTTCAGCTGTGTTTGCAGCCATGACATCCTAAGCGCTGTACAAACAGAGAAGAAAGCCAAATCCTCCGCCCAGAGAACTCATAGCCGGCACAGACAAACAGAAAGGTAACTAAAGGGAGAAATGCAGAGCAGCTGAGGTAGGTGTGCAGGCATAGGACAGAAACCAGAGTGCTCTGGAGTGCTTAGCAGCAGCTAGCACAGCCCCGTGGAGTGGGGCTGAGCCCAGCACGGTGCCCACCACCATTAAGACACCATGTCACAGGCACGATGCCTCGGCACGGTGACAAATGGGCAGTGACCCACCAGGACACCCACACTTCCCTGGAGCCCTGACATGTAGCCAGGGCCACCCTTGCAGCCCACCCTGCAGCTTTCAAGTTGCTCCATCCCACATCTGTGTGAACTTTGGGCTGTGTTTAAAGACTAAGTCATAAAACAGGGCAAGTTCTTGCAGGCAGACTATTGCATTACACAGACAGAGGCCTACCCAAGTCCATAGTGCAACCTGGTTAAACAGCACTTAATTTTTATATTGCATCTATAACACACAAATGTTTGCCTTTGTGCTTTCCATCAGTAATAACGAGCCAGTCTCAGAGCAGCTGCAGCAGAAGCCCACAACTGAAGGGACGGCATGCCAAGCTTCCAGTGAAAGGAAAAGGCAGCCTTTGCAAGAACACAGCTGCAGCTGAGGACTCAAAGAACCATACAGCCCAGCTTCCCTCTTCTCCCTGCTGCCCACCTTCTGTAAGCTAATCAGACTCATTTGGGTTGGAAGAACCCTTACAAGCTGTCTAGTCCAACTCCCCTGCAATGAACAGGGACACTTACAGTGAGATCAGATTGCTCAGACTCCTGTCCAGCCTGGCCTTGAGTGTCTCCAGTGATGGAGCACCTACCATCTCACTGGGCAATCTGGATTCTGCTGTTATGAGAATTACTGTATTTATTTCTTTGGAATACAGACAGGGAACCCTGCTGGATTGGTCACTGCAAATGCCACCAGGAGCCCCGGTCACACAGAGGGGAAGTGGGCAGGGAGCAGCAGGACAGCACGTGTCACCCCTTCACTGCATCTACACGCGTCCCTCCTACAGCAGGGCTTTCAGCATTTCAATTCAGAGGGACAGACAGGCACATGCAAAGACTGCTCTGAGCAGTGCTAAGGCATAAATGCCAGAGGAAAATGCTCTGAGGTTTCTGTGACTTTCTGTGCTGTAAACGACAAGGGTTAGTATTGCTACAGACAGCTGATAAGCTCTGAGTTCTACTGACTTGTGGAATGTGGTGAAGGTTTGTTTTGGTCCTGTCTGTGGGAAAGTAGAAATTACATCAGGAAGATGATGCTTAACATGAAAAGAGAAGCAACACCAGTTTCTTAAACCATGTTTTGGTTTGGTTTTATATGCAATGCGTTATTCCTCTTACACGCGGTGCTGTAAAATGTTTTTCATATAATCCAGCAGAAACTTTAAAGCAATAAAAAGTTCTCAGGTGCCTTTCCTGCAAGGGCATTTGGACAAATAAACTACAGTAACTTTTATACTGTTAACTCCAGAATAAACCCAAGGCTTCAGATGAGCTGTTACAGAAGTTCTGCTCTATCGAGTGATTCCTTTGGTCCCAGTCAAAGCAGGAACACGGACTGGGAGGACCCATGATCTAACACAGCATGGACACTTTTATTATCTATTTTTTTCCCCTCTCACCTTAGAATGCATTTTAGTTAACAGACAGATGTTGGCCAAAATTTTTCTAGATTATGAAGACTTCTAAATGTTCCCTGTAAAGCGAAGACTACGAAGCAGTGGAGGAATCCCATTACTATACAAGAGAATAAGAAGAGCTGATGTTACATCAGGCAGCTGGGTTACTGCGTATTTGTAAACACACATTCTAAATGCACACTGTAAATGCAAACTGTGTCTCATAAAGCCTAACGCCGTGTCCTCTGACAGCTGCCCAGGATGCATCACTTGGAAAAGATCATCTTGTGGCTGAAGCACAAGACAAGGAGGGTGAGCTCTGCTCCCAGCAGTTCTGCTCCAGGCTCGGTGTGTGACCTACAGCAAGTCACGAATTCTCTGTTCCTGCTTCCTCTTTGGCGAAAATGATGACGATGATGTCTTTTCTCAGCAGCACCATGAGTACCCATTAACTTACATTTGCAAGTGTTTCTCATTCCTCACAGGAAATACATTGCGGATTTTACTGTCCTACTACCACCCACCATATTGGTGGTTCTGTACTAACACGAGTGCATCAGACAAACTTCAGCCCAGCTGCACTGATTCTCATAACTGTTTCCATCAGAAATGACAACCCGTAAGGGGATTGATTACAAAGCCGCCATTCAGACCAGTCAGCCAAAGGAGAACCTGCAGGACTTCTGGGAGCAGCATTTCTCCAGGCCTGCCTTGCATTCACGTTCTGGACTTGTCAGCTCTGTCACTGCTGCAGACAAGGTACTGAAGTCAACCAGCTCTTCAACAATGTATGTTTTTTTTTTTTCTATGCAAACTTAATGCTACAGATTTTCTGGAATCCCTTATTATCTTGCTTACTTGTTTGAAGCACTGGCCATGGAAGGATGCACCCCATGCACTTACAGACTCAAAACTAAGCACATGTTGAAAGCAGAGAAAAGACTTCACATGTTTGCCCCAAGTAAATATAAGTTCCCTGTTTTGCATCCTCTGAAAATCACTGAATTGACAGACCTACTGGCTCCTACTTCAAGGTACCTAAAACACAGGAATCTAAAATTCCAAGGTTAGAATGTAGCAGGTTTCAGGAAACAAGGAGATTCCAAAGGAACAAGCGCCCCAAAACAAAACAGCTCCAGAAGGAAGAAGGTGTCACTGGAACAAAAGTACAAAGACCACTGAAGTCTGCTCACCTCAGTGCACTGATCACAGTTCTGAAGAGCAGGCAGAAAATAGGCAGATAGAGGTTACAGATGGGAGGTGGGAGAATCCATGCAAAATCTATGATGGGCAGGTCTCTTCTGAAACACGCAGGCTTGTTCATATACATATGGAGGACACCTGGAAAGCAGCTATTTAAGAGAAGCCTAAGGGGTGAGAGTGGACAGAAAGAAACATATATTTTGGCGGGGAAAAAAAGGCTTGTGTGGTTTCAAGGCAACATATTTAGGAACAGAGATCCAGAGGGAAGGCTCTCAGGGCTATGTGGTCAGACATTAAATTGTAAGCTGCAGACAACAGAGGCTTTTTTCTTCCTCCGTAATCTCTTTTCCTTGAAGCTGCACCTTGCTCTCAGGGAGCCCAACCATGACTCACGCAGCACTACAACAGCACTAAGTTGAGGGAGGCACTTAAAATGACACTTGCACCTAATAAAGAGTAATGAGAAACTGTAGAAGTTCACATGAAAGAAGCACACATGGCTGCCAAATAGTGATTAATGGGAGAAATAAAGCGTCTGTAGTGTAGGAAGGATGAAAAACCTGCTAGCCTAGAAGGCCCTAGATAACCTGAAGAAAGAGGAATTACTTTTAAGCAGTTTAATTAGAAAAAGTAAAGTGAGAGCTCCTCCCTAACGAGGAAAGGCTGAGAGACCAGGGACTGTTAAGCCTGGAGAAGAGAAGGCTCAGGGGGGAGCTCATCAACGATTACAAGTAGCTGAAATGTAGAAGCCATGTGGATGGGGTTAGGCTCTTTTTGGTGCCCTGTGACAGGCAGCGGGCACGAACTGGAACATAGGAAGTTGCACACAAACATGAGGAAAATCTTCATTCCTGTGAGGGCGACAGAGCACTGGAACAGGCTGCCCAGAGAGGCTGCCGAGTCTCCTTCTCCGGTGATACCGAAAACCCGCCGGGACGCTTTCCCGTGCGACCTACACGAAGGAGCCGCTTTAGCAGAGGGTCGGACTGATGTTCTCCAGGGGTCCCGTCCAACCCAAGCCCCTCTATGAGCTCCTCGGCACGGCGCTGAGGAGGCTCCGCCGCATCAGGAAAGGCTCCGCGACAGCGGGCCGATGCCGGCGACCGCACACGACAGGCAGCCAGCCCGTGCTTCGGGGAGCGTCGCGGACAGCGCTCTGCCCGCCGGCACCCAGCGCTCGCTGCCACCCTCCCCCGGAGGCGCGGAGGCCGCTCGATGCGCTCGCACAGCCGCCCGGGCCGTGGGCTCCGCGCGAGCAGCTGGGCCACGGCCCACGCCCGATCGGCGCGGCTCACGACGGCAAGGGCCGAGGAGCGCGCAGTAAATCCGCTCGGCAGGGTGGAGCCTGCCTTCTTTTTCGCTCTACGTGCAAACGCTGCCCCTCAACAGCAGCGGGCTGCCTTCCCCGCCGATCCCCTGCCTTCGTTTGAAAGTATCAGCGTTTGCAAGAAGCAAAAGGCGCTCGCGAGTTGCGAAAAAGAAACCACCGCCACCACAAGAGAGAGAGAGAGAGAGGCAGAGAGCCGAGGCGGGCTCGGGGTGCGGGGCGCTGGGAGTCGTCCCGCCGTCCCCGCGCTGCCCTTACCTGCGGGCGTCCCGCGGCGGCCAGGCAGAGCAGCGCCAGCCAGCCCGGCGGGCCCGGCATGGCGCCTGAGCCGCGCTACCGCCGGCCCGCACAGCCCCCGCGCCCCGGCGGCGCGGCCCGGCGCATGGGGCTGCCTACTTCTCCTTCGTGCCGCCCTTCCTCTCAGCTACGCGAGGGGAGAAGAGAGAAGAGCGAAAAAAACAAAAAGAGCCCGGCTGTAGTTCCCACAGCATTTCCTCAGACTTGACATGCAGGTTTTTTTTTTTTTTCCCCTGGTTATTTATTTATTCTCCCCCCTCCCCCCCTTCTCGTCCCTCCCTTTCCTCTCTCCACCCCCTTTTAGTCACCGTGCCCCGGCCTCGCTCCTGCCCACGGGCACGGCTCTCGGCGGGGCGCCCACCTGCCTCCTGCTGCCCACTGCGCTCTGGGGCGGTGCTGCCGTGTCCTCCGCAGCACCTCTGGGCACGAGGACATCTCTCTCGGCAGGATTTCAACTCGTATGATCTCTTCCGCTCGGGGTGTTCTATGTTTCTGTGGTAGTTCAGGATTCCGCTGTGCTTCTGCTATCCCTTACCCTCCTGCCCTCACGCAGCCGCCCAGCCTTCATGCCGTGCAGCCCCATCTGCCACGCTCACGTGCTGGAGTGAAAAGAGCGAGGAGTGTGCTTCTGACTGAGTGAAGGAGAAAGAGATGCTTTCATCTGTGTGTTTAGATTTAACCATTGGCCAGGAAAATGAGAAAAAGTTAATCTGGATGCAAGCCAGCAGCGTGCTCTTGCAGCCCAGAAGGCTGACAGTATCCTGAGCTGCATCGGAAGAGGACTGGCCAGCAGGGAGTGGGAGCTGAGTGTCTCCTTCTCTTCTGCCCTAGTGAGCCCCATCTGGAGTGCTGCGTCCAGCCCTGGGGCCTCCAGTACCGGAAGGATGCAGAGCTGTTGGAGAGGGTCCAGAGGAGGGCCGTGAAGATGATCATAGGACTGGAGCATTTCTCCTATGCCGACACTGAGGGAGCTGGGCTTGTTCAGTCTGCAGAAGAGATGGCTCTAGAGATACCTCACTGTGGCCTTCCAGAAATTGAAGAGAGCTTATAAACAGCAGAGGGACTGACTTTTACATGGTCTTATAGCGATAGGATGAGAGCAAATGTCTTTAAACTAAAAGGAGGGAGATTTAGGTGAGATGTTTAGGAGGAAATTCTTCACTCGGAGGGCGGTGAGGCCCTGGCACAGCTGCCCAGAGAAGCTGTGGTGCCCCATCCCTGGAGGCACTCAAGGCCAGGTTGGATGGGGCCCTGGGCAGCCCTGACCACAGCAGACGGGGCTGGGGCTGGGTGAGCTTTAGGGTCTCTTCCAACCTGAGCCCTTCTGTGATTCTATGATTCTGTTTTGCTCTACGTTTGCAAATAAATAAATGCAAACACGGAAGATGAAGGAGATTAAAACACCTTTTATTTACTTGTACCGCTGTGGTCTCTGCTTGGAAGAGGCAGGGAGGCACCAAAGTAGGGGCTGGGATTTCTCTCTTGTAGCTGATACGGAACATCCATCTGCGCAGCAAAAGAAAGCTGTGATCTCTCTACCTGTGTATGATATCCAGAGGCTGTGAAGCCAGACCTGTTTAATCTTCCTAAAGCTCCTATCTACACTTCATACGCCCTTAGTGTCCTCTGTGAGCATTCAGCCCAGTGTGTGCCCAGCAGGCCTCAATGCCTGTTCTGGGTCCAGGCGCCATGTGGCCACTAGGGCACTGCTCACCTGATGCGAGTCTGGCTCTCCATAGCGGGATGTGGGGCAAAACAGGCCGCAGCTCTGCTGCCAAACAGAAACAAACATGGGGACAGGCAGGAGGCCATGTGTCAGATCTGTCTGGAGGGCTGTGCCTAAGGCTTCCTTGGCTGGTTGCTTTGGGAGGCCTCAGTGCTGCGGGTCCCTGGCTGCTGAGGGTGGTTCTGCTCTCATGGATGGATCCTTCTGCCTGAGCCATCTCCGCCACTGTGGTTAGCTTGCAGCCGTGGGCCGGCCAGCACATTTTCAAGCATTCATATTTGAGATACACAAGGAAATGCTTCTCTTTAAACAGAACAGTTTTATTAAGGCTCTTCCCCTTTTCACGTTTAGCGCACTACCAAAGCTATGAGCAGTGTTTATCTGCCAGCTGCTCTCTAACCACAGGTTTACAGGATCAAGCTGGCTGCTGTAAGCAGTTGGACGCCTTATCCTGGGCCTGGGGAGGTGCTGAGCACAGTGCTCTGTGCAGAGCTGCTCCAGGGAGCTCTGTGCTGCACAGCAGCTGCAGCATTTCTGCACTCTGATCTCTAATCTTGCCTGAAGTATGTGCTGTTCAGGCTGGAATTTCTCTCTTTTTTTTTTCTCCCCAGTATGTGAGAACAGCCTCTTTTTGAAAAATTCAGACATTTTCCTCTGAGTTAAATGTAATGTTTCTAAGCCAAAACCCACAGAAGCCACTACTGGGTGCTTTATAGTCCTAATCATGTACTGCAGTAAATAGCTAGAAACTGAAAAGTGAATGCTTGGAAATACAAACTATGGAATGGATAGAAAGTGCTATCACTTTAAAAAAAAAAGCATTTACATTTATTGCTTGTATTGTTCTATGTAGTGCAAGTAAAAGCTAAAAATTTACTCCCAAACTGTCAGCTTTTCTTTCACAGAAAACATACTTTCAATTATAGAATAGTTGTGGTTTTTTTTTCAGCTATCTTTGCAAAATATCTATTTTGAATAAAATTGAAATGCTTGAAATCTGAAAGTTTTGAACTTCAGATGGTGTCTAAGTGTGTCCTGTTTCTTTCCACCCTTATGGGGTGCAAGCCTCACCGGGGCCATCCCTTGTGATGCTCTGCCTTCAGAAGAGATGGAAAACAATGGGCAGCCTTAGAGCTACAACAGAATTGAAAAACTGATCAATGTCAGGATCCCTTTCTTTGTGAAGCCCTCAGAAGAACAGACAGTGACAGCAGTTGATAAATTAGCAGTGCCGTGGTCAGGATGGATCTCTTCTTACCTCCATCCTAGTGAGAGAAGTGGAAATTACAGGTGAAAAATACGTCAAGGAAGTTCAGCAGGCAGTCCTGTGTCGTAAGATCTACACAGGATGGACGGGATGAACAGGGGCTTCGGTTTTGATGTTTTTCACAAGTGTCACATCTGCAAACTGGCTTTTGTGCTTTGGTTTGCGGGTGCTGAGAACCAGAGAGCAGTAAGGAAGCAAATGGTCTGGCTGAGGCCCCAGCTGCACATCTGGGCAACTGTGACCCAGCAGCACGGTGCCTTGGGCACAGGCAGGACTTGGGCTCCACTTCCCCAGCAGGGGGGGTGGGGGTGGGATAGGGGCTGTGTGCAAGCTTGGGTCTTCATAAAAAGATCACTGAGATCATCAAGTCCAACTGCCAACCCACCCCCACCATTTCCAGTAACCATGTCCCACGTGGACACAAAGCAATTCTGGGCAGAGATGCAAAACTGAAAGCTTTTACATGCTTGTTTCAGAGGATCTCTCTTCATCCTACAGAGAAATGCTGTGGAAGTGCTTTGCATATTGGCAAAGGATTGGGGAAATCTGTTGGATCTAGGTCAGGGCTTTTCCTCCACTCAGCGTAGAAAATGTTGGTTGGGATTCCAAGCTCTGAACTACACACAAGCTCTGTAAATAGGAGAACCTGTTTCTCAGCTGGGACAGGTGAGAAGCCCAGAGCACCTGCAAAGCTGCCAGGGCAGCAGCAAGCCATGCAGGGAACCAGGGAGGAGGGGTGTACTGGCTGCTCCACCGCCCAGTGCAGGGAGAGGCCCTGCCGTATGGTGCAGGGTGTGAGCTTGCTAGCAGAGCAAAAGAGAAAAAAAAATAAATACATGCCTGCACATGTTTAGCATAGAGTCTAATTTCAGTCCTGGATTCTGCCTATTAAAATGAATCCATCAAAAAGCTGTATTATTTACCCTCCAGAAACCCAAACACAAATAACACCGTCAACTTGAAACTGCCTTCTTCCTGTGCAGCGCATGTTTGGACAGCGGATGGTTGCCCAATCTGCACAGCGTGTGTGCTTCAAAACGTCGTGGCGGAGCAATGTGGGTCACATCAAACGCGCTTCTGGCAATCCCACAAGAACGCAGCAGTGCTGAATGCCTCTCAGAAACTTTTGCTACGTTCAAAGGAGTAAAAGCTCACAGCTTGCCGCTGCGATGGTGCCGAGCATTTGAAGTACAGGCAAGCATGGATTGAGCTGATACGTTATCACCAGCCTCTGTGGTGATAACAATGCCCACATAGTTCTGGAAGGAAATACAAACATTGTGGTGAATTTTTAACTTTGAATATTTGTTCGTGCTTCTGAGACCAGCCTGATGATCTCCAAGATGAGTCACGCAGTCATCCTTAGGACAAGAGTGCTGGGGAGCTTTCCTCACACTGCTCAGGCCCCCCTCAAGCTGTGTGCAGCATGGAGCGCTCGCCAGCCCACCCTGCTGTGAGGAAGGCGCTGTAGCACTGCTCTGAAACACCACGTATCAGTTCCGCAGAGCCATCTGTCAGTGCACTGAAACTGTGATGAACTTTGAAATTTCACCTGAGGTGACCAATGCCTGGATTAACGAGCTCATTGATACCTCAGCAAAGGTTCAAGCTGAAATGAAACCTTGTCACCTACTAAATTCTTCAGCTTCTTCCCTGTCCCCACCCCAGTTCCCATGCAGCACACTTAAAGGGAAGGTGTGACAGGCCCAGCGGAACAACACAAAGGATCCCATGTCATCATGCCTCCACCTCTGCAGCTGCACCTGAAGCCATGGAAATTTCTCAGCTTTTGGGAGATAGGAAAGATTTCCAAGGTCACAAAATAATATTTCGAACAGTCATACTCAAATGCACAGCAGGCACACTTCTGTGTGTGCACAAAGTATTTAAATATCAGAATAAAAAGTGTCTGTTTCTAGAATGGAAATGCTGGAGGCTGTCCTGTGGAGGCTGATGTTTCAAAGACTCTCACAGGTGAGGGTACAGACCAGCCCAAAAGGCAAAGGATGAGGGAGACACAGAGGAGTGCATCCAATGTAAGTGCTGGGAAAGGAACCAGGCAGGTTCAGCAGCCACATTTCCAAGTCACTGATTCCTGCTGAAAGTTTCTAGCAAAAAGAAGGGCGAGTACATCTTCAGCCAAACAAAATCTATACTGGAAGAATGACACATATGGAATGTGGATGCCTCCAAAGAGCTGCACCGTTCACCAGTGACATGTGTGTCTTTTACGATCTCTGTAAGCAGAGCCATGTTTTCTTACAGCTTACCTGTAGCACGGGAGAGCATCAAACCTAGAGGTGTGTGGCGCTTTAGAAACAGCATTCTTGGAAAATGATTACTCATTCATAATTACACGTTCAGATTAGCTAACACATGCTACATTATCATGCAGTGCTAACATCCAGGATCTCCTTAGCCTACATACTCAACAGCAGCACTGCTCTATACCTTTGTTGACTCATTTTGTTGCCTAAACCAATCCAGTAGCTCTTGTTGTCTCATGGTTTCTAATTGCTAGAAGCGTTAGCCAAATATACTCACTAAACCAGCAAACCAGTTTCCTTCAAGTGCTCTTGCCTGGCACTATACTGTGATAAGCACCAGCATCCAATCCAACTTAATCTGTCAAGGATCAACGTCTTGCCAATCAGCCTGTTCTATCAGCACACTAATGACTTTTCTGCTCATTTAGGCTGTTTTTTTGTTGTTCAGTGTAATTAGTGCATTCTATACAGAAAATTACTTGCTGAATGCAAGACTTCAGTTTGTATAAACTACATTAAAACTCACAGAAGAGAACAACCCTACTAACACCATCACAACAGGGAGTACAGACATATTCCACTCTCATTTTTCTGCACCATTTTAAATCTTATCTGCACGTAGCAACAAATTACCACAGTATTACAGAATTCCCCCGTTCTTCACAAGAGATATTGAGAGAAAAACGATACGTGAAATCTTAACATTTTAATTTGCAGTCATTAATGCCACGTTCCTCATTTTCTCTAGCCATGAACTCATCCAAATACTGCTTTCAGTTCTCCTAACAAAAGTGTACTTTTTTGCACAGCAATAGCAGGATTTTTTCCTCTTCTCGATGGGGAGTGGGAAGGGGATGGTGAAGAATGTGCAGCTCCTCAAAGAACGCCCTTTGTTCTCACTGATTAGAAGATGGGAAAAGAGCAGTTTGCCTTAGAGCTTTAGAACAGGGTCTCTTCCAGAACAAAATACAAGCATATAATAAGTCATGCTTGTATTTAATCTGTACAAAACATATTTAGATCATGAACTCTCACCCAGGAAGCCACGTATTCTCTGCTGGCTGATTTTTACTTGAGAGCACAAGAGTCAAGCCTTCAAAAAAGCACTTAGGTTCTGAGATTCCACTAAGGGCAGCACGAGACCTCCAACATATCCCCTATTTAAAACCAACACGCTGCAGTTCTTGCAGAGCTAATAAAGCCAAGGATTCCGTACAAGACAAAATGCTTTTTTTTTTTTCTTTTGACAAAGTCATAAGCAATTGAAGATAACCCTTTGAGGATGAATTGCATTCCATGCTGGCTATCCACCTCTCTTCTTTCAATAGAGCATTTTCACCCAAAAGGTTCACTTACATGTTTTTATTTTTTTACAGAAACAGGAAGGACAGAAGTTAATTTTAAAGAAATAACAGAATTTTAAAAAAAGACTTCTTCATTCTTTTCTTTCCTATTCCTAAATGCTACAGTGCCATAGCTTGGAGAAAACAAAAAGCCAAGAAGAAACATAGATAGTTCCTGCCATCTTCCTGGAAATTTGTCAGCCTCTGGTAAACTAACAAGCACTTTAAAAACTAAACCTCCTGCAACCAACATATACTAAAAAGAGACATGAAATTCAGGAGCTGAAACTCCTGAAGACTACTCACAGAAAGTTTGTTGAGTACACAGCAATTTTTTTCAGCTCAGGTTATTATAGTGGAGCTGGTCTTGCTGGGGCTTTGGTAGAGATTAAAACACTGAGTACCAAAAGCTAAACTTTGCAAGAGGCTGAACAAAGATCTGCATCCACGAAATAAAGACTCTCACACCGCAGTCACCACAGTTAAATGGCTGTCGCAGCTTTTTGGCTTGCTCAGATCAGCAGGTTTCCAAACACTGGTGAAAGCTCAGTGTGGGTAGGAATCATACTCACAGACAGGCTGGATGTAGCTGCCCTCCCATATAGAGCTTTGCCATAAGAACTCATTTTGGTCTCGGGACTACAGCACTGCCACCTCTGGCACTGCAACTATTGGCACAGATAATGACAGAAAAACAAGGCTAATTCTGTGTACTGGACATATATATGCATATATGTTTGTATATATAATGGCTGTTTTGATGCAATTCTCTTTATGGAGAAGACTGGAAGTCACAAGACAAAGCAGGTATACAAAACTTTTTATTGACAACAGAACAATAGAGAGGAAACATCACCACTTCCCATTCCTCAGGAATGTCTCCATTTGACAGTCAGTCTGCTAAAAGCATACTTTCATGGTAACAAGCAACAAGAAGGCATGGAACTGTCTGCAATCTTGAGAAAAATGTTTCAGTGCAGTGTAAAGGGACTGACAGTGTGCAAGTGTGCAGCAGGCCCTGTCACAACACAAACATGGCAGGCAACCATCTATGCAGAGCCAGCAGGCACAAACACGAAGCAGGCAGAAGGCTCAGATGATCTCTATTACTTCTGAGGGCAGCATGTGAAGTGCTGCCATCTATATTCTGTCTCAGGAGATGGTAATTTCTCCCATCAGTCCTTTTGCTTTGCTATCCTTAAAGATGTTTATACTTCCAACTGAAGGGCACTGAGTCAGAGAATGCCTGATGTTTTACATCTTACCACGTATTACCAATTTATGCATGCACTTGAGTTTACTCTCAGAAGGTTACATTGACATAAAGGAAAAAAAAAAGTGCTGCATAAAAATGAACAGATTTGGTTCTTAATGCTTCCTTGGTAACAAAAACACACGATTACAGGACGCTCCTTGTAATGCTTTTGTAAAATATGTTTTCAGTCTAGGTAACGCTTGAAAGAAACAGTGTGTGTCCAATCCCTTAATGTAGTTTCAAATATTCTGAAATGAAATTTGAACTGGAATTTAAACTGAACAACAAAATCTTCTAATTTTTATCTTTCACAGGACACAGAACTGCACAGTGAGTGCAAGATGAGACCATTCTTTCTCCTGCATAAGGTTACTCTGCCTGCAGTACTGCATTGGGTCCCCTGTAGTAGCTTATAGTTTGTTAATATTATCACGTTTTTCCTTGCCTTAAGCGTATGTGTGTCTGGATGCGTACACTGGCTGTTAAAGTGCTTCAAAATAAAACAAAAACTCCAACAAAACAAAACATCCCTCAAAAAACCACAACAGATGTGAGAATTTTATCTGAAGGATTTTGTACAGCATTTACAATGTCAGCATAAAGCATCTGAAACATGAGCATTCCCTGCAGACTGATGCAGTGCAAGCAGCCTTATACATTAGGTACTGCAATTCCTCTGGATTCAAGATGCACAATACTTACAAAAACAACCCTAGAAGCACAGACAAATGCTGGTGGCTCCTCCTCTTCTTTTTAGAAACATAATAAAAAAATCTGCATTACTCTTTCATAATTTAAATACATAAGTAATCTTCACTTTTATTACTTCATGACAATGACTTCAAATTTACATTATTTTAAGTACCGTCATAATAGCTCCATGTATAATACAGATATTTGCTGATATCCTGTCAGAAAATAATAATTAAAAAAAAAACAAAAACAAAACCCTTCCACTATATAAAAAAAAAATATGCTGGAAAGACAAGAACACAGAACAGGGACTTGGTACAGACTATGATTTCAGTTTTATATCAACCACAGTTAACCCAAAAATTAACAGGTACACAGCGATATTCAAAAGCAGTGCAAATATCTTTGGAGGTTAGAATAAAATTATACTACGAGAACATAAGACAGAAGAAATTAAAAGGCAAGTACTTCAAGTACAGGAACCAGTCTCTGTGAGGTCCATCTTAGTGTTAGTTGGGAGCTCCTTTTCCCACCTTACTTCTTCCTCTGGAACACGTTAGCCAACATTGCACCTGATGTAGTCAGCTGGCCCATTTTGTTCAGAAACTTGGTCTTTGTATCCTCACTCACAAGGCTCGCAGCGATCGACATCGAGCTAGGAAAGTCAACAGCTTAGTTACACAAGGCTACAAACAAAAAGCACACTGTGCTCTTTAATAAGCAACTGAATGGTCTCGGCATGTTAGAGGTTTCATGAGCACTAAAGGTCACTCCACCGAGAAGAACTGGAAAACCATCAACAGTAAGGCCATATGCACCATAAAGTGAGTGATCCTGGCCCCAGGAACAGACCTAGTGGAAAGTTGTACAATACTTTTGTGCATGTTATTTCATACATATATATATGCACAAAAAAAAATACATGCATTTAACTACCTTTGCAGCTCTGCGTGGCAAGGGAAAATTATTTAGGAACAAAAGTATATTCCAAGCACTAGCAACACTGAGAAAATAGAACAGCTCACTTCAGAAAGTAAGTCTCACAACTGATGTCAAACCTGCAGCTTTAAGCAAACCGTGTTGTCTCGTGCACTTGAATAAACCTAAGGAAAACCATGTACTGTACAAATGACTTCTGAAACATAGTTTGGGGTGATATCAGCTACTGTCCTCACACTGATACTTTTAAGAACTGGAATTCTGGTTCATGTTTTCCAACATTATGCCACGATCATAAACTGAATATTTAGATGAGCTACAGCAGTGAATTACTTAAAAGTCAGTATGCCCAAAAAGTACTTCTGCTACTACAGAAACTGCATATTTCAATGTAGTAACAAAATCAATATGAAATCAAATCATTTGAATCTCATGTCTTTAAAAATAACCAGAGAGGGTATTGACATACCTTGTCTAAAGCAAGTACTTCTATAGGAAAATCCTTGCATTTACACAATTACAAAAATTAGAAATGAAAATGTCAAAATGTTAATTCATTTTTTTTTTTACTGGTGTTGAGACAGATTATACATTGCATAGAGTTCTGCCTCTTGTATGGGGAAGCTCTGGGTACAAACAAACATTTATGCTGGACATCTTATAAAAATGAGTTTGTAAAATGTTTTTACCCAAGCTTTAAGTATTAACAATTAACAATTGCAGCAGAAAATGTTTAACAAAAAAAAAAAACTGCTATGGAAAAGATTCAGCTTTTAAAAAGATGAAGTTTAATCTTCTAACAAATCAATCTTTTGTCATTCCATATTATTTGACATAGGTTTTCTTACACCAAGGGCAAAGATATGATAACGACCAGTATCTTACTTTTGCATCAAGGCTTTTTCAGTAAGTTATCTCCTAGTTGCATTTAAGTCTTCATCAGATATATATTTAATGCTAAAACTAGGAACTGAAATTGGCAAGGGCTTAGCAATTAAAAGGAGATTCATGTGTATGAAAAGTTAAATTTCTTCAGTGCCAAAATATTGCGTTAATTTTGTGCAGTAAAAGACTGCAACCATAGGGCTCACTTTGAAGAGGAAAGGCCAGGAAAGAAGGAAGCAACTTGGAAGACTAATCTTTTCCAAATCTTACAGTCTTCAGCAACTGCACTCTAAAAGAAAATAAGCTGGAAGTTGTATCATGTTTGCATTTATCTGTATCTGTAATGGTTTCATAGTACTGTGGTTTCAACATATTTTCATAGATCAGATTCTAAGTAGCAGAGACCTCTTGTGTTAACACAACTACATTAATATAAACTAAAGGCAGGTAGTTCAAACTCCACATGAAACAGGAATTTACCATTCAAACTGTATCCACGTAAAGAACAACTCTCTGAACTAAATAGGTTAAAACAATTTGAGAGAAATGACAGCACACATTAGACTCAATAACAATCCCCCTTGCCAATAGGATTTTTGTTATAAACAAAAAAATGAAGGAAAAAAATCCTGGTCAACTGATGTGTGCCACTTGAGAATTCAGAAGAGCTCAGTCAAGCCATGTTGTTTGGTACCTTTGGTTTTCCTGCTAACACAGGTCAGATAACATAACTCTTTGGGTTACGACTAATGAAGTTCTTTAAAGAGACCAGCTTGATATTGAATACATTTGGCACAATCTGTGAGAAAAAATATTGTTTCTCAGGGAAGCATTCTTAAAGAGATGTTTAGTATTTTCAAATGGAGTCTCCTAAAAGACTGTCAAGAAAGTGCTTACAATTTGATGAATTACTTTACTTTGGAAAACATTTATCAGGCATACACAAGTTTCATCTTACACATTTAGATACGTACCCTGCTTCTAGTGTTTTTCTTTACCTAGTCAAGGTCTGGTGGCTTTTTTATTTTAGTTAAAATGAAGAAAGAATATCAGCAAGTGAGTACTATTGGTGATAAGTGGATGGTTGGACTGGATGGTCCTGAAGGTCTTTTCCAACCTTGGTGATTCTGTAAGTCTAACTGTATACGAGTCCAATAAATGAGTCCATAAAACCCAGGCAAGGGAAATATTTGCCAATAATGCCTATATACACAACCAATTCTCATGCCTCAATCCGTTAGTCAAAGTCACTGCTGAGGACGAGGGATGTCCTAGCACAGCCTGGTTGGTGAGCACCCACAGCAACTGTAGCATATCTGCATAGAGCCTGACTGCTGATAGCTGTCTGATCATAACTACCTTTTGAGTATCTACCTATGGAGAGTGCAGAGTATAGGAAAGACCTAAATCAATCTAATGCTTACTTGCAAAAAGTAGGATAGGTTTAATGCTGGACACGATTAGGTTTGTATCTTGCCAGAATCATTACTGCTAGGTTGTTTTTTGAGGATGTTGCTGAAAGAGAGCTGAGCATTCACCATTCCTTGAAAATGAAAAGGAAATACACAGTTGCTGAAGAATCTGCTTGGAGTAGGAAAAGGGTGGGATTAGGAGAGAGCCTACATAGGGGAGTACACAGGTACAGATGTCAAAGAGCTCCTTTCCACTGAAGGCAAAAAGGATAAAGGCAGAAAAACCACAGGTTTTTCTTTAAGTATGTGGTGAAGATACGAGGAAAAAAATCAAAACAGCATTAAGTGCTGAGTAAGTATTTCATCACTGACTACCCTAACAATTGGAGCGTGCTTTGTTAGGATGGTCTACTTATCTTTCTTCATGAACAAGAAGATGACAGTATATTCCTTTGGTCTTAAAAGTTTTGAATTTCTTTTCTCTCGGACAGGACATCTGTGACTAGGTAAAGACCATCTACCTTATTAGAGCAGATGCTATGGATTTATAGTTAGTTGTAGAACTTGAGCATTTTTAGTCTTAAAATTATTTCACCTGAAAAGTCTAAAGTTAATTTCTGGTATACATCCAGAGGGTTGGCCTGATGTTACAGTTCCAAAGAATTCAGTCCTTACTACATCTTGTTCACTGTCAGCCACACCAATAAGCTGTCTAATGACCACTGATTAAGCCTGAGATACTTTATTGGGTGCCTAAGAAACCTACTCTTTTTTTTCTGCACCACGTCTCCTCTGTTCCAATTCTTGTATGTCTTTCCCACTTCAGTAGTTTGGAAACTACTACTATTTACTTGCTGTCTGAATTCTTTTAAGAATATATTCTATCAGTTTGTGACAGTTAAGCGAGTGTGACAAACACGTTTCAGTAACTGCCTTTATTTGCACAGTAAGTTATCCCTTTTTCCAGTATCTGCAGTTTCTTCTCAAACTCCTGTTCACATTGTTAAATTTTTTTTTTTTAAAGCTAATTCACTAAACAGCGTATTCAAACAGGTCAGTTGGTCTATACACTGGAGAAGCTGTTCTTGTGCATCGGTCACATGCAAGCAAAGATAGCAGCCTGGGATAAGCTCTTAACACTATCAGAAGAATTCCTTCCACCTGCAGGCAATCCCCATGAAAAGATGGTTGCAGTGTGCATGCTACATGCATTGCTCTAGACTTAGGCTAAGCGTCTCCTGCTTTCCCAGTGTATGGAACTGTTGAGTCACGGCCTGAACCACTGATTGATCACCTGGAGAAAGGAGCCCATCAGCCCTGGGAGCACAGGTGAAGGCAATTCAGCTGTGTCACCAGAAGGGGTGGAGCCTGGCAGCACCTCTCTTAGACCTCCCCCCGCCCCCCCCCATTAAAGGGCTGACTGCAGGATTCTCTTTCTGGAGATCCCTCTTTGGTGGAGCTTTCCCCTGTAAATCTGGAATCTTCTGATACAAGTAAGCAATCTTCTTCCCTTATAGCACCTTTGTATTGTGCCGATCTTTCCATCATTACACCTTTTCCCACCATACTGATTTGTCCAATTGCTACACTCAGATTCAAGACAGAAATTCAAATGCTGTTTTCTACGGTTCAAAACCTAAAAATGAAGTATCGTAGGAAAGTGGGAACTTCATTACTAGGATACAGGTAGAATTGTGTTGCCCTGTGCTTTATACTGGAAGCAGAAACAACCACAGAGTGAATAGAAGTTCTGAATATGAGCATTAGTGTGGGATTTCTGGTCACAAGCACTGGACACCGTTATGGACGACACTTTACAGAACGTTATGCTGGAGGCACAGAAAAAAAGAGAAGTGGAAGTCTTACCCCTGCGGTTCTTGGACGGTCTTATTTTCCACTTTCTGTTCACACTCTTTTATCATGGAGCTTAAAATAACCTAAAGCACATAAGGAAGACATAGATAGGATGTTTTTTCTTTTACATCAACAATTGGTACCAAATCTGCTCCCCAAGTAATTCTGACACCAGCAGAACAGTTTAAGAAGGTTCTCTTGCTTGTGAATTGCATTTAAGTTGCAACTAATTGATAATGCCTTGTGGCTAGAAACAGCAAAACCATTCAAAGTACTTTAAGGAAGAAAAGGTTTTTGAACCAGCTACAAGAGTTCAAGACTCCTTCCCATCCCCCCTTCATTTATTTTTAAATAGAGTCAAACTGCACATACTTCTGTTATACATCTTCATCTCTTCCCTTTTTTTAAAGCAGTAGTTTATTCATTAGCAATTTGCTTTTATATACATCCATGTTCTCTGTATTTTCAAGTACACTTTATAACTCCTAATTACCAGCACTGTGCATAAAAGCAATGAAAGGAAGAAAAGGAAAAAATGATAGTGTGTAGAGGCAACATTTTTATGGAAAAGAAGTGCTAAAGCAAACATGAAATATCACTTCACTGACATCTTACAGGGTTTGTATGAATCTAGATTTTTTTTTTTAATTTTACTTTAGCAAATCCAGTATTAAAAGGTTTTTGCAGAATATTTTAGACTAAACTTTCCTGCTTGAAAGACAGACACTTGAAATAACTGGGTCTCACAGGTCTCTGTCACAGTTCCTACAAGCATCATGCCACAGCCAGGAGCTGATTAAGGCCTACATTTTCCTTTTCTGCAGTAAAGTTGTAGTGAGCTTTCTAATTCACTGGAATTGGAGTAAAAACATTTCATTTTTCTTCAGCCTGTAAACATCTGTGATTCTACTTGCATTTCTGACATTTCAATATTTCTCTGCAGTTACTCAACCTAAAAATATATTCTAAAAGATTTTACATCATGGGACTTATCCTTTGTTCCAGACTCCTTAATGCTACACGTTGTGGTACTGTTTATGAGTAGCTCTTCTTAACTTCTAGTTTTAAATACCACGACATTTCAACTTTCATTGCCATTTCCATCTCATGCTCAGTAAACACTGCTGCTCACCTCATGCTCTGGTGAGAGATGTTCCATGTCAGTCCGTAAACACTTAAGTCCTGGTAAAAAGTGATTGACCATTAAATCCTCTGAAATAACTAAAAAACAAGTTGTTAAGGAATTATAAAGACGGCCTCTTGAAATTCTGTATGTCTTCTCTCTCTTCTGATACTATACAATTTTGCTCTACTGAACACAGAGACAAGCTACAGCAGCAATACTCTAGAAGACCGCATTTGATTCTTCACAACAAACAAAAAAGATGTCTGAAGCACATTTAACTTCATATATTTCATATGATACAATTTTTTGATACATATATATACACATACACACATTCACATAGAAGTACAGTTTAAATTACTGCCTAAGATCAAGGGATTTTTTTTTTAAAGTACTTACAAGTTCTACCTTCTGTGAAAATCTCATCTTTACACTGAGCAGATCATACTTTAGATCACACATTCAAAGCCAAAAGTAGCTATTTCCAGAATATTCATCTTCTCCCCCTACAACAGAATCAACTAAACTTCACCTTACGAAAGGATACAGCAACAGGAAAGAGCACTGTAGGCTTCAAATAGGTGGGTAGCAATATCCAGTCTCTTAGAATCCACGGACTGCTGGTTGTTGACCAAGGCTAATTTGTGCAAGTGTGGAATAACAACTGTAAAAGTAAATATTAGAGGAAGCATTTGAAACTGCTTTCCATAGACGTGATTAGCATTAAGAAGTTGTTAAGTGATAATTGCAGGCATCCAAAACATCACTCATCAATGTGGGATAAAAGCTGCAAATAATGGCTTTTGATAGGACTGCTCATGCAAATGTAATTGACTAATGCAAGCTTGAAACAAAACTGTAATAAGACTATCTAGAATAAAAAGATCACACATCTTGGTTGATCTTTTACAACACAATGGTTGCTACTCAGAGTAGCAACCATTACAGAAAACATGCTGTAAAATTATTATTCCCCTGCTGCTAAAATTGTCTGAAGTATGTTTCTACTAATGGGTTTAGCCTGCAAAACTAGCTGCCTACATCTTGTGAGTATGATAGGCCCTCACATTTTATTTACAAGCATCTCTTAGACAATCTAATCATGAACTCTGTTCTTCAATTTGCTTCACATTACAGGGCTATGGGGGAAAAAAAACCCCACAACCCTATCTTGTTAATCTGGGATACGTTCGCATTCAAGATGTGTGGGATACTTCATATTTACCAGGCAAGAGAGGCTGTGGTGGAGAGGGAGAAGTGGAGTAGAAAGCTTTTTACATGTCAAATAATTGAGAGAAAAAAAAAAAAAAAGGGAAATTCTGGTGTATTTTGCAGCAAAGTGACCACTGCCTTTCAGCTGTGAAAAATTAGTTGCTGCATGCTGTGTTCTGTATGTACATCAATGTTAGGTAAAGTGAAAATTTTATTGGCAAGGTCAAAAAAATCAAAAACAAAAACTGGGACATAGGGGCACACCAAGCTTGAATACAAAAGAGTTTTCATTAACTTTTTGGTAACAACAAAAATCAGTACAACCAGCCAACAATTAGCTTTGGGACAGGAAGAAGAGGAAAACATTCTTCCACCAGTGCAACTTACATTCATCTCTAAATCTGGGCTCAGCATTAGGTCCAACTCTTCCAAACGTTTTTATGATTTCTGTATGAAGAGAATGTTGGTCTTGATATTGAGGGTCCTCCAGGAAAGATGCTAGCTGCATTTTTACCCTTTCCAGAAGCTTAAGTACAACAAAGAGGGAAGAAGTTAGAAATCATTAAGAAATCATTAAGCTTGGCGTATGTCTATAAAGCTTACGTATGTCAGATGATAAGCCCTGGATTTTCTGTTAACTTACAGTCTTTTCTGATAGGATGTTCCAGCCCCTTTTGTTGCTGTCCCCTATTTTAAAGACTTAGCAGTGTTCTATTCTATTCTTAACTACTATGCATGTGCTCCCATATAGCCAGTCTCTTCCTAAAGTTTGCTTGGTTTTGATAATCACATTTTTTTACCTACTATAACTTCCCTCATTATTAAGATCTTCAGAGTTTTCCTTTTTAAATAGCATTGAATTCACTTAAGTTTCTTTGTAATACATCTCAAAAATATCCTTTTTTTTTTTCCTGCAGAAGACAGATAGATAAGCATCATAATATCAAGGGAATTAGAAAGGGTTCTAGAGGCTAGAAAAACTGAAACAAAATAAAATACACATATATCCAAGAATGACCAACATTTAATTTGCATTCAAAGTTGTTAAAGTAACATTTTCTAATACATTTTGAAAGCAGCTGTCACTTCTGCACTCTACAGTTTATTATAAATAGTGCAATGAATACAGTAATTTTTGTGTGGTAACAAAACCATATTCTTTCCAAACTGATTATAGGCATGCAATCCAAACTACAAAATGGTAACTTATCCACCTTCCAAGTACTTGTGAGTCATCACAGACTTATTACTCACATTTCCTCAAGCGCATTCTTTTAGAATACATTGAGATTACAGGAAGAATGCAAGCTCTGCAGAATGCTGTGGGGACTTTACAAAGAAATCCGATGGTACAGCTATTACGTAGAGCAAAGCTCAGTGCTTCTACTATTCAGAGCAGAATCTCAAGTGTCTTTTTCAGAACTCTGATCTATTAGCAAAGTTCCGTCATTCAAGAAACAAGCAGGCGTTACAGATCTGCATTATTCTCAAGGATCATTTCAGTTACTTCTCTATAACTTCAACATCATCTTGGATGTCATGAGCTATCGGAGATGGCTGCAGAGGACCAGCAGATATGACAGGAACTTCAAGTGATCTGTGCCCTCCTCAAGTAATTGGAAGCCAAGCACGATATCCCATGCAATCTAAAAATGGTATCATATGTTTGTGTGGAGGCAAATAATTATCACCATGACTTCTTGATTAGCACATGAAAGTTAAACTACCCATTTAATTTAGAAATAATGGATTTGGATTAACTGACTTATCTTAACTGATTGTCTGAGGAAAAGTTTTAAAAAATATTTTATTCATGTTTTTCCATCTTCTAGCACAGGCCTCTACCTCTTTTTTTTTTTTTTTTTTTTTTTAATGTTTAGCTTGATATTTATAAGTAAATGTCTTTCTTAGTAGAAAGAAGGCTTGTGTGATTTTTTTTAAACACAAAACAAGTGAAAAACAAAAGAAAAAAAACAACAATACAAACCAACCAACCAAAAATAACCACTGCAAAACCAGGAAGTATATTAAACAAGGATGCAACAACAACAACAAAATAATTTACAAACATTTTTTTCTCCTTTTTCCCCCCCCCCCAAAATTAATTATTAAATTAACGTATCATAAAATCTCCCACTACTTCTACAAAACAAAGGATGACAGTAGCACTGTTACCTCTCTTTGTGTAACAGTTTCCATGATGGTCCCAAAAGCAGGAATTGTTGCAATCCTCACTGAACTACAACAGAAAAACATTATCTTTAATTGAGCATTAAAGAATAAAATGGGTTAAAAAAAAAAAAAAAAAAAAAACAACAGAGCAAAACTCAAAGATTAGTACTTTAAGTTACATTAGTTTCTAATAATAACAAAACAAAAAAAGCAGACCAGGAAATAGACAGACAGGATTAACTCAAGGTCTCAATCTGAAACTCACAATTCAGGATCACTGGACAAGGTAACAAGGGCCGGTGCAACCCGCTTGTCAACTAATGCTTCACTCATGCCTCGAAGAGTCAGCTGTAAACCAGTCAACATGCAATAAAAAATGGTTTGGTAAACTGGAAGGAGAACTGGATTAGCTGTGGCTGAGGATGGGCAGGCAGACTCTTGGGATTTATCTTGGTTTAGTCACCTCACGACACATTAAAATGATTAAGACACATCATGCTCTAGCTTTTACTGGTAATAACCTGTTAGTGAGATTAGCAAAGCATCCCTCCTTAACTTGAAAGAAATATCACATCAGAATATTATAGCACAAACACATCCAGGAATTGAAATATTAAAGTTGTCTACCAGAAATTAAGTACTCCCAAGACTATTTCACATTTTGATACTGCCTTATTTAATTTTAAATATAACTGGCAGAGTTACAGAACACGCTGATGTGCAGCTTCCTGCTAGAAACGATTTAAGCAAATTTCAAAACTGAAAGTATGACTTAATACTTTTTTTAATAACTGATTTAGTTTTCCATTTAACATTTATTCAGCAATTTTATCCTCTTTAGTTCCAGGTATTGCAATAAGCCTTTGTTATTACAGACAAGTGTCTTTAAAGTTACCTTTTAAACAAAGGAGTTTGACTTTTTTTTGCAGCTAGGATAACAAACACAGCTGATGGTTATTTCTTCCTAAGTATTAAGAGGGATGCTAGGTGTATAAGACAGTCAGAAAACTTACATTTCAGGGTCACTGGAGAGAGTAATGAGAGCAGGAACAACTCTCTGAGCTACCAGAGTTTCATGTACCCCCTTCACCAACAGCTGAATGGTCGGAGCAGGGGGGTATCACAGGTGATGCACGGAAAGAGCGAGCACAGTATCATGGGAAGAAGAACGGCACAACCAAGAGAGAGAAAGAAAAAACACAAAAAGCAAACCAAAATTAGAAGCTAAGCAAATACTGCTACACTAGTGCTTCATATATGCAAAGGCATGAAGAAAGCTGAAGTGGTCTGGCCATCAGCACAAACCTGACAAATTTAATGACACAGTGTTGTTTGCTCTGCTTTCAGCTGTTTTGTAACTCAAAATATAGAAAGATCAGCAAGTAATTTAGGCGGTATAATTCAAACCTGTTAAAATACTAAAATGATGCCAATTAGAGTTTGACAGTCTGGTCTAAATGATGCTATACCTCAGTGCAATGGCATATGTTATTGTACATGAAGACTGCCACGTGCAAAGGTAGATTTCTTTAGTCAGGCCGAATACGTGTTTTTCCAGCACTGAGTGACACCTTTCAGACATCACAAAATGACAAAAAGTACCTCCCCAGAGGCCACTAAGCTTTCCTCAATGTCACTGTGAACTATTTTAGATTTAATGGCCATCCAAGCAGTCTATATTGTAACAACTCAAGTTACAATTGCTGGTCTACGCAGGTAGAAAATGGACAACACCTGACTTATCCACTGTATTAGAAACTGAGATCACACTGAAATTTGTCATTACCCACAGATATGTGGAAACTGATTACGTTTAGAACTGCACTGCTCATGTCTTTATGTATGTATTACTACATGTGAAACAGATACCCTTTCTACACAATAATATAAACTTAATTTTTAGAAAATGGCAAATTCTAAACTTCCCACTTCAGCAAAACAGGTGCGAGTTGTTGCTTTTTATTTTCTTTTTTAAAATCTGCTTTAGTTAAAATGGAAAGCATAGAGAAAGCAGCATCTCTTACTGTATCATGCAGTGCTAAAACCAAGCACTAGTTATACTCTAACTAGAGTTTTACATTATGCTATTTGTTTGAGCATTCCAATTTTACTGACTGAATTTAAAACATGAACGTTACAAAAGACTGCAAGGAGTCTGACTTTCCAGAAGACTTTCTATATAAAACAGTGATATCTACTAAGCAATATTTGAGTGTGCATGTGTGTGTGCCTACGTACCCAGATGCTGTGACCGTATCATGGTCTCACAGGTAATGACTGGACAAGGAAGTACAGGGGTGAGAAATGTTAAGCTGTGCAAGCATTACTGCTGCAAAATCTCAGAAGTAGAAAGCTACAACTTCCTATGCTCATAACTCACAAAGTACTAGCAACGTCAGCTACTCTACTACATTTTAATATTAATACATTCCATAATTATTTACAGTTGCAGCAACTTATAAAGTGTTGACCTATTCACCTTAAGGTTGATGCACTGGTTGGATGCATCAACATAAGGCTGATGTATTCACGTTCAGATTGATGCTAAGGTCGTAGCACTCTGTTCAGCCATAACAAATTTACTCCCATACAGTTTTCCCACTGACTAAACTAGACAATGTTTATTGTTTTTAACTGGGGACAAACAGGGATATGAGTTTTCTTTACCAATCTTTGTTTTGAGAAAAGTCTGGAAGCTGGAATTCTTAGAATTTGTGTAATTAGCAAACAACTTAGAGTGATCTCAGCTCCACAACTATATGGGCTGCTAATCATAGTAAATAGCATCATTCTGTCTTAAAGAAAGTAAAAGCATGTATAATCATTTAAGAGTCATTCTGAAGAAAAGAGTTCCTAACCTTGAACAGACCAACAATGCTTGTAACTCAGCTACACGCTTCACTGTTCAAACCAGCAGCAGTCAAATCTGTTTGCATCAACATTCAAATGGGAAACTACTGACAGAAAACATTAATGCACAGGCACAAAGGAAACAGCTGGATGGGTAAAGCCACATTGCATTTAAGGCTACAGTGAGACAGACAACACAAAGTTTTATCCTCTTTTGATTCTTACCAAGGAATGCACGTTCATTACTTCATACATACCACACCTTAAAAACTATAGCACAGAGCTTCCTGTCCCCAGGGGCAAACAAAAATACACTGGCTATAAATAACTCATGTTCTTTTACTCCAGAACAGACTGGTAAGGGTTTTATAACATGATTTGGCAGGCCTAAATCACAGCAGTCCCTGAGCTGCTGCAGATCACTGTACTGGTCTAAAACTTTGCAGTACAAGTACAGCTGTCCAGCTCAAGACACACTCTTCTATGTTATCCAATCACTACTGTCTATCTTCTGAGATAATTGCTGTGTTTTGCCAGTGAGTGATCTCTGAGACATCAGAAATTCCTCACGTGAAGGAATCCTCCAAAATAAAATCAACTGCTACCATCTCTTCCTATAGTTGACTTCCAAAATTCACATACTGTCGTGTATAAATGCACAGACTACAGCTATGAAGTGGCAACACAGTAAATCAGTTTTCCAGTGAGAAAAATGTCTTCAGTGAGGTTGCCTATGCACTAGTAAAAACTGAAATACATTAGAAAGCAAACAAGTAGCATGCAGAACTACCCAAAAATTATCAATTTGCAGTGGAAAACAAACCACAACCAAGACAACAGCTTGTATTAACTGAAGTTTTTTGTGTATTGGGTTAATGATTACACAAAAAAGGAAACAACATTTTTACAAATATGAAATAAAAGCCATGTGCTTGTATTGTAAACAAACTAAGAAATGTTTTATGGGTGACCAAAATTGCCATCTCCTTTTCACAAGAGAAAAAAAACAAGACAGAGTTGGATACTTTCAAGGGAAGTCACACAGTATGTTTTTAAGTCACCGTTTAGTGCTTTGTCTGCAATGACTAGCAGAGTTGCAGTAGAGAAAAGTAATGGTAGCATTAAGCACTTCTGTCCTCAAGGCAGACTTGAGATTTGTTTTCAGAAATGGATACGACATGGCAGATTCACCTAGATGTCAACAGCAAAGCTAACCAGTGAGTCAAGCTTAACAAAACTGTAAAGAAAATAAAAGAAAATGGAATTTGATTATAAAAAAAAAAATCACTCTCAAAAATATGGAAAAAAAAAAAAAAAGATACTCTTTGTTCAGCAAGTGGTGTATGCCCCAGTCTTTTGGTATGCCTTTTATCTTTAACACTTGATGAACAGGAGCATGGTATGGAAATAAAGAACTTACTAGTTAAATTTAACAGCCTCTCTTATCATCTATACATTTGTTCCAAATAAAAAGATGAAGTTGTCACACTGTGGCATATTAAGAAATCCTATATTTCACCAATTATTTATTTTTGGTAAAAATGTACATTTTTACCACTCCATTTGGTGACAGTGGAAACCTGCTGCAGTTACAGGTGCACTATTTGTACACTGAAAAAGGTACTGAAAACTGGTAACTTTTAACTAACGATAGCAAATGTTAAAATGCAGAGACACTTGCTTACGTTTACCTACGGACCTAAGCAAATATGTTTGATGATGTTATTTTGTTCTGGTTTGAACACAACTTTGCCGGGAAATTCATTTTCATCTGAAAATGTTTTTCAGCATGCAATAGTCAGAATGCAACAGTGAAATCAGTAGTTGATCAAAGAACACACAGTCACTATAGAAACATCATGCAAGTGGCTAATGACAAATTACATAGTGAGATGTGCTAGAGAACACAACAGGTAAACAACTGTACAACTGCTCCATCACACAGTGCACAACTTAAGTCATGCATAATTTTTAAGAATATGTCATCTGAAATCAGTGTTTAAGAACTTCATCTGAATCAGTGTTTAAAAACACACTGCAGTTTCAGAAAAGCATTCAAAAAAAGTTTAGGTATCACTTACCTCAAACATTCTAGCTGCTGTGCATCGAACAAGAGCTGAAGTATGGACAACTCCATACCATAAGACAGTTAACAGCAACTCATGATAAGCTGGGTTTGCACTAAAAGAAAACATTTAAGCAATCAAAAAAGAAAAAAAAAAAAAAAGAAAATAAATTCCTCCACACCTCTGTGGAGCTTTTTCCGACAAAAAGCTGTCTCAGCAAATCTAAAACTCCAATTTTTATCCCTTATGAAAGATACACAACATTTACTCCATTCCAAAGGGCATGGAACATGCTGCTGTCTAGAAAATAGGCTGCATTTTGAAGTTGATTTTAGAAGTTCTTCAGAATACAGATTTCAATATATTGCAATAGCGAATTGAACGAAAATACATATGAGAACATACAGTAAGAATATGGGAGATAGTAAATCAATTTCTACTTTTCTCCTTAGTGAGGATTTTTTTTTTTTTGTATTTATTTTTACTCCCATGTGTGAGTGTTTCTTGGTTTTCTTTTTTTACGCTTGAAAGTTTTGGTTTTTAAACACTGCGTTATTCATTTGGGAGATTATCACTGAGGAAAAACATAAGCCTACTCATTTTTCCCCTGAGGCAGCACAGTTAACAAAATTACAGCCACATTACCGTGTTTTAATAAAAGCTTCTAATGTATTCAGATTTAATCAGCTCAAAGGTTCTTTACCCCAGTTCCACAAAGGAAGCTTTCAGGCTATCAAGAGGAGCGTGGGACAGCGATAGCATGGTCATGACATCTTCCAAGAATCCAACTAACAGCTTGCGGTCCTCTTCCTAAAAGAAATACAATTTCAAACGTAGTAGAATTGTTATGGTTTGACAACGTTCAGCTATGAAAAAGACAAACTGAGAGAGAGCAGATTAGATTTAGCACTTAATTTTCTTAGAATTTCCAAAATATGCTTTTAGAAACGTTTAAACGTTTAGAACGTTTAAAGGAAACAAGACTATTCCTATATTTTATCAGCTGAATACACACTTATATGCACAAAATTCCCCAAAGATGTTTACTGAAACCCACTTTCATGGCTCTCGATAGTTAGTGATTGCTTACAGTCCACTGCAAGGAATGCAAGTCCATCTGTGAGAGGATGAAAGGTTTAGTTTTCCTTGTAAGTCATGTATACATCTGTTCATAACTGCTGGTTACTGGAGGGCTAGGTAGTGTTATTTATGGGGTGTTTATTTTAGACCTAAATAGCACTAAAATTTTAAGACTCCAACTGTGCCCCAAGTAGCAATTTATCTGCTTATTTATTTTTGAGAGCCTGTTGCAAAATTATGGCTTGCAAGGGCCACAGCTAAATGGCAAAGAGCCCATTTATTGAACATAACTAATATTTTGGATAAAGGCACAGGGCAGCTGTCAACATCTAAGAGTTAGCAATGCTGCCAATGCCTGATGTCATCTTAAGATCTACTGAATTTAGTATCCTTTAACACTGATGTCCGTCAGCGAAATGTTGTAGTGAATGCAGTACTTAGGAAACTTAGATTTTAAATAGACTTAGGGCTGTTTATTTATTTATCCTCAATGCATGAGAGCACTAGAAATTTACAAAGAGAACCTTAAGGTGGTGTGGATGTTTATTGTTTGTTTGTTTTGATAGAATAATATGTAAAATCTAAGAAAGAAACAAAAACAAACCTACCTGAATATAACACGTAAGGACCCCTGTTGCATAGATGGGAACTGTAGCTTTTGTAAGCACTCCGTTACCTGCTGTGGAATCTAATGAAACACATTACAGAATTTATTTTGCATATATACATATATAAAGTATGCATATATTTACATTTATGTAAAGAATGTATATACATGGGCATACATACACATGCTAAAATAATGCTTAACTAATATCTGGATTAAAGATTTTATTTTTAATTTAAACACATATACAGTGCACAGCTTCACAGTGTTCCATTCAGATTATGATTAAAGAAAAATGACAAATTTGAGAACTGTGGACTGAAAATGTTATTTGAACAGGACAATAACATTTTTACCAGCTGCTATTAAGATCAATTTTATTCATGAGAATAGAATATCACTCACCTATGTTTTCCTCAGATAGTCTTAGTATTTCCTGGAACTGTGGCTTTACCTACATAAAGGATTATGAAACCCACATGAGAAAGTTTATTGCTAGTATCAAAGTTGCCAAAAATTAAGACAGAAGAACATTTTGAAGATACAGAAAGAAAAAAATAGAATCTTTAAGAAGAGCAGCTGATCTACCAAAATTCCAAGTATGACAGAGAACAAAAATTTCTAATGAGTGCCCACCCAGTAGTGGTCACTGTGATAACAGCATTCAGCACTCCTGCTGCTAAGAGTGGAAGCCTTTTGTCAGTTTGCTTAGTTGGGCTTTATGATTCTACCATACTATACGTAAAAAACAATCAGTAATATATTGAGTTTGCTTCATGTCTCTGTTAACGAGTGCTGTCTTCCAAAACACAGTTGTAGTAATTTTTACTGAAGCAAGAATTGTAAAAATAAATTACAGATGGGATTTTCAAAGATCAGAGAGAGGTTTTAGTCTCCGCCGAAGCAGCGTGCAGTAACACAGAATGCTGAATGTTTAATTTTATCTTTTGATAATATTGCAGTGTGTTAGCATTTCTCTTCAAAATATTCTCAATGAATATTCAAAAATGAACTTATTGAGAAATAGGTGACATACATCCTTGATAAAAATATTTAGGTATAAGCCGTGAAAATATTTTTAGCAGGGAATATTCATTTTAAAATTAGCAATGAAGTACACAGTGGAGTACAAACAATGGACACAATGTTCTGAAGGAAGAAAACTATGAAATCACTAGGATGAGAATGATCTCTCATTTTTATCAACAAAAAGATGCATATTAAGGTTTAAAAACATCAGGTTTTGCAGTACTTAAGGAAAAGTATCAGTATGGCACATAAATACAGATGTCACACAAAACATGAGTACTCCAACCATAAAATTTCAGTAATATATTCTTATTATCAGTGTACAATGTTGGCATAACATTTAAGGTACCACCTTACCTTAGTGTTTGTAAAAATTTTCCCAAATGTCCTACAAAGTCGCCAGAAAAATCTGGAGAACTCATGGACACAGGCAGTTGATGCTACGTTGATTTTGCCAACTATTTCTATAAGCTGTGGTAACCTGCAAATAGGGAAAAAAGAGAAGGATATCAGACACTATCCTGATCTTTTGTTTCTCTCCAGTTAAATTAATACAGATTTACTGTATATGCTAATAAGTATACATATAAAGTACTAGTAAAATTATCTAACTGTTCTGTACAATTCCTAAACCTTGAAGAAAGCAAGGTTTAAATTCAAGGAAAGCCTGATATACATTTTCAAACATCTGTTACTGAGGAACAGCATATCTACGGAAATAATCAGAATACAAGACACTTCCCTTCAACACAGAATTGACTACAGTAGGGCAAAGCTGAAAAAAATTTCTGGAGTGAGCAGTTGTCTATGCATCCATTAGGTAAACAGTATCTTCTGAATAAAATCAATGAAGTCAATTCAGAGTGATATTTAAGAAAAACTATAAAAAAAATCCAATCATCTTCTCTTTAAAATTGAGTAATTCTTAAACACAATCATACCTAAAAACCGTGAAGTTCAAACATTTCTAACCATAACAATTTATTAAGAACTATTAGTTTTGACAACTTTTAGGAACTGTAAGGTACAAATTAACTCACAGTTGATTGACTACCCATAGCAAAGTCTCCCAGCCTGTGGTCCCCTCATGTTCTAGCTGATGGTTGTAAAGTTGCAACAATACTGCCAATTGTTCACGGCTTCCGACGATGATAGCCACATCCTGAAGAGGCGATGCAGGTCGGGGAAATCTAGTGACTGTGACAGCAGAGAATAAGCAATCATGAACAAAACAAGATAAAGATGGCTTGGAAATCATGTCAGTAAAGTCTGAAATTCTTCGGTAAATTCTGTGTAAGGTTATCAAATTGCCTTTTAAAAATCCATGAGTTAAATCCAACTCCAAAGAGTCTCCATAATCCTCATTTTTAGAAAGAGAAAATGCAGAGATCGTGGATGATCCCAGAGATCACGCTGTAGATTTATGGTTGATTGAGTACAAGACAAAGTCTCCTGACTTCTGCTACACTTTGCACTATCTCCTCAATTATTTGGATCAAGAGAAGAGAAAAATCTACAAAGAAAAAGAAAGAACTCAAAAAATTCTAGACCATAAAAATATCCTAGGGTCAAAAGTCTGCTACACCAATGTTTCTTTTATTACATTCAGTTTATGCAAAGCATACTGAAAATTATTCAGCAAAGACGTTAAGTGGCAAATATGTAATCTTTCCTACTGTGGAATTCAAGACAAGCTTGCAGTTCCAACAGTGCTACTGTGTTAGTGCAAACATGGGAAGTATAGGAGGTTTGTTTCCTCCACTTGTGTTGAGGAAGCAACTGTCAGACTACACCGAAGGCTGACATTTTTGAATTCCTTATTTAAACACTAGCAATCCAGGGAAAAAGTGCTCATCTTCAAATGACTCAGGTCAGCTGAAAGAGCTTCACTGCGGCATGTCTAACATTTTTACATTCAAGCACATAACACAGCTTGCTCCTTTCTAAATTTCCTTTTAAATGTACAGTTGTTAAACATTCTTTAACTCTTGATATACAGAAATATTACCAGCATGTAGCAGGTATTACCAACAAAATCTTTAAAAAGTATTCGTAATGAAAGAAAATGTTAAAGAGGCTTGGAGTGCTGATTTAAGCATTTAACTTCACTTAGAGATCATTCTGTTTGCCAAGATAATTACATAGATGCATAACAGATGGCGAAGCTCCTGCACCAGAATGTATTTTTTCCACTTCTTACAAATAATAAAAAAAAAAATTGCAGTAAATCCCTAATTCTAAAGACAGCCTTCTGGAGTTATTACTGTTCATTTGTAGAACACAGTTCTTCACAAATCTTCAGAAGTCTAATGAAGGACTGCTTTGTTTTCTCAAAAGTTTCTTTTGTGAAGTAGAGAGAAATACTGAGAGATGAAATGAAGAAAAACATTATTTTATTTCATTCACATCTATTTTGTCATTACTGAAGTGACTCAGGCATAGAAGAGAATGGAATAAGGAAGCAATATTTAAGGATTTGCTAAGAGAGACCAATATGAAAAAATTTCCAGGGGAAATCATAAGGTAAGCATTTATTTTTCCCTCCACAATTTATATAGTCTATCAGGACAACAAAGTGCTTCATTGAAAGACTCTCATAATATAAGCCACTGGGCACAGAAGACATTTTGCCTATAATGGACTGTATAGAATGCTGCTAAATGAATACAGAAATCTCAGTCAAAAAAATCCTAAAAGATACAATCTGGTTTTCCTTTGTAGTACTGGCAGTCATTTGGTAAATATTTATGACTTCCATATTTCCTCAGCGTAAATTACCTGATGTCTGTAACTAGTTCCGTGTATGACAAGAATTTTTTTAAGACTTCTTTCTTTCATAGCAATGAAATTGGAGAGGAGATGAAGAAGGGAAGTAGAAAGACTTTTTCCCAAAAAGGAAAAAAACAGAAGAAAGAAAAAAGTCATGACAAATGTTCCTATGTTGGAAACTAGCTTAAAAAAAATATATATTCTCTCCATCAACTCAGTCACACTGAAGGAAATTCATAACATGACAGAGGTTTCCTGAGGTTCTCTGTTTTTGCTACATCTGAAAATATTATATAAAAAAGGCGCATTAGAAAAATATGCCTGAGGTCAGGAACTGAAATTATTATTTTATAGATGTGTTTAAAAAAAAATATATAAAGCTTATATACGAATCCTGCAACTTATGTTTATCTAGTAATCCGAGGTATATTTGAGCTCCAGGTACACGTGAACAATTCCTTGAATTCTTCCTTTGCATTTAATACTGATTTGTAACTGAATTATACCCGTGTTTCCAAAAATTCCACTTAACAGAAACTGATGTACCTTCTATTTGTGGTACTTCTCCCTGAAGTTTAGCCTTGCTTGAGAAAGGTGCATTCTGTAGCACCAATGCAAATAATGATGGAATCAGTGACTGCAAAGCAGATAGATACATGTGGAGCTTATGTTCATCCAAACCGTGTTCTCCTTCCTGAAACAAACAGGACATTCAGTTAAAATTTTCAGTTTGAAGACATTTGTGATGAACTCCCCAGAAACACTCATTACATGGTCCTTTATCCTGACCACTACAGTGCCTGGCGTTACAATCCAAACACTCTTGTCATTCTTGAGTCACTTCTCAAGAGAAGCCAGCAATATAATCATTGGCATTGAGTGATTCACATTACTGAACACACTGATGCTCAGAAAGAGCAAATTTAGGCACATCTTGAAAACAGGATTCCTTGGTCTCAAGGATCAGTTCATCTGAAAACTGAACGAGTCAAACGTATTGTGAAAATAAGCATCTTGGTTATAACGTAAGAGTTACCCTACTTTCCAGAACTCTCCTGATATCTACCAAAATAAATGTGTGCAGCAAAATTGATGCAAACTGCATATCATGTAATTAAACCATTCAACTACACCTTTTCTTACGTGCAATAAAGGCTGCACTTTATTAAAAGTGACACTATGTGACACAATGTGACACAATTTAAATACAGGACAAATGCACTCAGACTAACAGGCACCATCTGGTCACAAGCTCAAGAAAATGCTTTCTGAACTGTACATTAATTGGCTATAAAGCAATATACTATTGGAGAAGAATCTGATTTTATTTTTTTTTTTGGTTTTCTTCCTCTATTAAATCAAAGTTAAGAAAAATCTCCAGAAAATTTCCCCCTCATAGAACTCATACATAATAAAGCTACAAAGAGAAGTCTTCAATGTAGAAATAGTAAAGACATACCCTGAGCAGTTTTTCAATTTTACTAAGCAGCGTAGGTATAAGATGGAACTGTAAGTTCCCCAGTTCTGTTGTCCAGGCAGCATAAGCAGGTAGAAATACTTGATGTGTTGCACTAACTACACGTTCTGAAGGGTCTCCTAAAGCTGAAAGCAGCAGTTCAAAGCCCTGGAAGAAATAACAAGAAAATTAACTACTTTTCCTACAATTTATTCTAAGGATTACTGTGCAAAGCATACACAGACTAGACTTTTACACTAATAAAAAGTAAACCAAAATAGTACATGGAGGCCTCTCAACATGTATTCCTACCTTATCCATAAAGTTTAACAGTCCAATGATCCCGCTAGCAGTTATCAGCATTTATACAAACATGTTTTCATTGTTCCACTTTCAAAAACTTAAGGAGAGGAAGGTAAATTCTTCACTTTCATGAACCTGAAATACTACTGGCCAACATTAAGAAGAACTACAAGCAAGCTTTATTGGAGTAGATTAATCTGTCGGCAAGCGGTGACAACAAACTGGCTAATAGACTTAGGTGGGCAATGAAGTGGAATACTCTTGAATTACAAATTATTAAAGAAACTTCTTTGTGCAGTTCACATCTGAGATTCTAATGATATTTGAAAGCACATGCTCTCTTTTCAGCCTTAGTGACACAATAAAAAGCAACATCAATACAAAACCATCAACACGAAGCTTTTAATGCACACGTGTAAAACAATGTACCCTCCTATTCATCAAGTAAACACAAAACACATTCCATACGTACAGAATCCAACTCAAATTGTACCTGTTGATATTTGTCTGGATCATCAATATATCCCATAATGATGCCAAGGCTTTTGATCACAGCTTCTCGTACCAGATCTGCCTTATCTTCCATTAGCATTTGTTGCAGCATAGAAAGTACCAATGAACTACGAATTTCTTTCTGTGTATAAAGAAGAAAAATACTTGTTAAATCCAATGAAACAAGATATGCTGGTCTGTATCAATTTTTATAAATGATTTGCATTTCTATTAGTGCTTACAAACAACAATCCCTTTCAACAGCCTTGAATCTCCTAATGAAAAACACACATTCAGCTGTGACAATAGTAGACCAAGGAAAATAAAGTGCTAGTAGCCTCATCAGAGTCTTTTGTTCTACTAAGCAAAGAACTGGAGTCTTTTAACTAACATGGATGCATGGATATCAAAAATAAGTAACAGCAAAAAGCTACTATAGGCCCAGACTTGGCATGATGTACTTAAAACAGAATCTTTAATCACTCCATTGCTAAATTTGAGAAGCATGCTTTTAACTTTGGTTATTTTCATCTTCTTCTGAAGCTTCAGATTCCAGTTTGTCACTGACTAATCTCTGCTACAGCTTTTGACTAGCAGTACTCTTCACTTTAAACATCTCACAGTATCTAAAGAACTCTGTTACTGCATGCCAATTATTTTTTCAGTGGTGATTTCCTTGATTGATCCTAACTACCTTTATTTCATTTTTACTGAAACTATGAAAATTTGCTCAAGCCATACTGGTCATTTTATAGCCAGACCAACCTGCCTTCCTTTGTTATAATTCACTTTCTCTTTACTGAATTTCATATGTGTGACAAAGTAGAACATAATGTTCCTGTCTGTGTATAAGAACCACCTTATTTTAAAAAGCTAATGGATATTCAAGTATGGCAGCAGATTTTAACCTTGGTTTCACAAGAAGTATAAAGGGTCAGAATGAATACTTACAGGAAGGTAAGGTGCTAGTGCTCCACAAGATTCTGCTACCAGTAGCCGTCTCTCTGGGTATTTGTGATTGATCTAGTGAAGAAAAAAATAATGGTTATTTGCTTTGCAGTGACCAGCATTTAAAATGTGGTTAGTATGAACTACAATAGAAGGATACGTGTGCACCTCTTAGATAAACATTAGCTGTGCCTGTAGAAGCTGCACACGCATAAGAAGCGGCCTCAAATTCTTGTACTGAGGCATAAAGGCAAGGCAGATACAAGCCTCCTCTAGCTGTCCTGTAAATGGGAGCTTACAGTAAGAGAACATTCTGGGAAGCATGTATACGAAGTAAAGATGCTCATCTAAGAACTACAAGAGTGCCCTCTAGTGATCTGAGCCAACCATTGTAGCACAACTGCCCAGGTCCTGCTGAGCAGTAAGAGTCAGAAGAGGACACAGGTACTAAGCCAAGTAGTATTTGCATTCTTTCAAAGTCCAGTTTCCAAGTCTAAACAAAGACCTCATGTTTCCAAGATGCGCCTGAATACAGCTCCTGTTCTTAAGAACCTCTTGTTCCCATGCTGCCTGCCTCCTCTTTCCACTGAAAGGCCATACGAAAATTCTGCCTTGCTTTTGAAAGAAGTTTACATCTTGGAAATCAGCCTTAGTGGTCAGAGAGAGAAGAGAGCTGATGGTTGCACAATAAAACACAGGTGATATGTTTTCAATATACTGCTAAGCCATACTGACGTAGTGGAAAGAAAAAGGAAAGAAAGTACTCAAATTTCTATAAAGCTTTTCATTCAGAGAAGATTATTGGTCCATGAGAATGTAAACATAATGGTAAATTGGTTATCAGTTCTTTTCCTTTTTTTTTTTTTTTTTTTTTTTTTTTTAATTTTATGTAGCAGTATTGTATTTTTAGATGCCAATTACTTGGTTACAATTTCATAGGAAACTTTTAGCATCTACACACTAAACACAGATGAGTAAGCCTGCATACATGTACAGCTGTGAAGAGCAGGTAAAAAAAACGGCAAAGACCAGCCTGATTACTCTGAGCTTCAAACGCATAGATAGAAATGCAATATTTTCTGATGCCCTAGTCCTTTACATCTCTAAGTAGATTTTGACTGGGGTCCAACTATACTAAGCCTCTCATGACTAAGACATCACTGAAAGACAGTAGAAAACTATACTGTATTTTTGAGTTCTTTCTACAATCTCAGTTTTGTGGCAATGAGATTCAGCTGGTATTTACTAGAGAAAATGCTGACCTGGTTTCAGTACCACAAACAAAGCCTGGTAAACTGCATTAAGTAAAAGCATGATGTCATATGGCTTGGCAGCCTGATAGGTGGCACTGATACAGTTGGACTGGTTTCTCCTGTGCATCAGCAATTAGGAAAATGTTATAATGAAGATGTGAGATTAGTTCCTTTAAACTCTCTTTAAATCTCATGAGAAGGACTAAGAAAACAAACTGGTTTATGCTGAACTGCTATAGGTCTTTTCTTTAATCAGTAGATACATCAGTCAAACAGGTAATGCATCTAATTACACAAATGTCACACAAATTATGCATTTAATATGTAAATTGGACAGTCAGAAAGCATTAAGTTTATTAAAGATTGAATGTCATTGCAAAACAGAAAGGGCTAAGTTATGCATGTGGAGAAAAAGTAGACAAATACCACAACAGAAAGACTGTAATCAGAGCAAGCATTACCACCCTTGTCATGGCTTAATTGTTCAGCATCTTTTTGGCAATCAATTCCCTTTTCTTTCATTGCAGGAAAACAAAAATTTTTTTACCTGAACTCATGTTGGTTTCCTTCTGTATCTCAGATGAAAGAGAACGAGCTTTTCAGTTTGGTTGTTCAGTTTGGTATTCTATTAATTTATTATACCTATGGAAAAGGTCACTGGGATTCTGGAATTCATATGTAAGCTTCAGGCTTACAATACATTCATCTACAGGGCACTTATTTCAGACTACTTTGATCTTTAATTTTCTGTTTAAGAATTTAAGCTGGCTGAAGTGTGGACACTGCTCCAAGGACTCATCACTTCAATATAAAATCAGTAAATGACATCTGAATGACAGTGGAATCCCAGTGGTATGGAAATGACTGTGTGAAATTTATAAACATTCCTGCTTGGCAATAGGTTGGGTAACACTGCTGAAAGCGCACAAATATCTGCATTTCAATATAATGCATGCAGGTATGTGACATGCAAGTAACTACACCTCCAGAGAAACCTCTCAAATTTTCTGTTTCTGAATTCTTTTCCATGCCATAACAATGCGTATATCATGAGGTCAAAGAGCATCCAAACATCTTTCGGAAAAATACTTTGAACAGTCACTTTGAACAACTCAACATCTATGAAGTTGTAACTAATTTACATTGTGTGTAAAGCACAAAATAAGCTGTCACCTGTTCCCAACACTGTGGTAAAAGCTCAGCTTCTACACGCGTTGGTCCAACATGTCGGGCAAATGCCACACAGCCGGTCAGTATCATCTGCCTGGAAACACAAATTAAAAACTTTAATTTGCTGACAATGAGAAGTTCTATAATATATGATGCCTCAACTCTTTACGTTAGGAAAAGGAGATACCATCAGGCAACAGGCAATCATTTAGATTTAAAATCTCACACCATGCACATTGACTAAATCTCAAATTGAAAGCTGATATACTGTTCTCTGTTTTATGTGTCTTTTCCAGAAACTTGGAAGATCCAAAACTCCATGAACCAGACCTGAGAATATCGAATTTGGGAGTCTCTGAGCACTTATTTCCTAATATCTGGGTTTGAGAATTTGACTAAATCTCTGATTTACATCTTATTTCCGAATACTATGATTCACCATGCAATAAATGGATCTAAGTTACTTAATGCTACCTACGGCTTCTATTTAGAACCATCTGTTGGTTTTAAGAACTTTTAAAGTAATTTAATTCTGTCATGAAATGATTTTGTAATATCCCAATGTGCAAGTTACTGTCATCTCTTCCAACATACTGGACTCTTGTCAGAAATCCTCTAAAGGATGAAAATAATTAAAAAGGAATGCAATTAACCAGTAATATCTATGATGAACTGAGTAATTTTATTTATATTCTTGCTTTTATTTAAAAAAAAAATTCTTTTAGTAAAAGAAAACTCTCCTCAATTTGCAGGAAATCAGAGATGTATAAATACATTTCATGTTTCAACAAATATTTAGGAGATAAAAAATATTGACTCCAATATGTTTATTATTTACTACTGAGATCCAGAAACCTTAAAATATAAGTGGACCACATGACCAGTCAATGAAAGCAGCTGAGTAAAAAACACATGAGGTGAAAAATCCCTCATTATTTGTCCCATTATCTTCTCTACATTCAAGGTGCTTGAAGAACTGCCTTCCTCACAGGTAGCTATACATAGAATGAGGTTTTATTTATACTGTGGAGTGTAAAATTATACTAAAAAGTGGATGTATACAGAAAGATTAGAGACAGACCAATTTATTGCAAAATAAGGAAGCTTGAAGGGATGGGAGAATGTTTGTTTTTACACCCACTGAGGCAAAATGAGATCAAACTACAAGCATCTGCAAATCTGTACTTTGTGATATTTTAACTTCTATTTAATGAGTGTTTATTTTGCAAGGGTTTTTGAGTTTGTTATTGCTCCTGCTAATAGGATTGGAATCATGTCAACTTTGCATGCAACTTACCAGTTCTATCTGGTTTTAGTTCTTACATCAGAACTTAGATCAGTAGTTTTAAATGGTAATACGTAGACTAGAGACACTCATTTTATCATCTCTACAGTAAGATTAGAATACCACTGTGAATTTGTTCATTACTACCTCATGGAAACTAAATAATGATTGATCTGTTATCATTTTTGCGTCACGTCTTAATTCCTAAATATTACCACAGCTAATAGCATGCCCTTAAGGTGGAAAGGCAGAGATTCTGCTGGTTCTCTCTTAACCAGTCATACAATATATTCCATCAAAAAGAGATACGTTCACTTTCTGACTATTTTCAGGGAGAAATAGTCTACCTAAAAGATTTTTTCCAGAATTTAAGAGAAAAAAACCAAAACAATTACTTATTTTTCCCCTCTCTACCACATACAGAGAACTAGACCTTTGAACAAGGTAAAAAGGTGCAGGGAAAACCAAACAGATGATTAGATAAGGTTCAAGAAATCAATCAAAATCAAAAGCTGATTTGTGATATCAATATGGAGACAAAAGCTTGTGGCAACTGCAAATTCTACAGCATACAAAAGAGATAATAAAGTGCCTTTGGCTCTTGATCTACACACCTCACCTAATCTCATAACTGGGCAACAGAAACATACTTTCATAATGTATTAATAGCAAATTGGAGGATACAACAACCATCTGAAATCTACTGCAGAAGAAGGGAAAGAAAATTCATTGTTTTACACTAAGCCTTCTCAAAATTGTTTAATGAAATCTCCAAGTTAAGACAGTATTTTTTTTTTTCTTTTTTTGCCTTGCTGATAAAGTTGGGAACTTTTAGATTTTACAAAAGTATTCAAAAAATAATGTGTTAAATATTTTACTGTAACCATCCTAGAAGCACAGGACAACCACTAGTACTTCAAGGGAAGGAAAGGGAGTAAAGTTCTCAGTGCTAGGTCATTGAAACAAAGTTTGTTAACACTCAGCTACTGCAAAAATTGCAGCCTAGGCTGGAGGAACATCTTTCTTGTTACTGTCATGATGAGCCCTTTCGTTAACAAGGTGCTGGAAGGCTTTCTTCAAATAGCTCTCTTCAGACTACCACTTACAATCTGCTAAAGAGGAACATCAAGCAAATCAGTACTACTCAGTAGAGCACTACTTTGCTTTGTCAGTGCAGAAAGCAAAGCAAAATAAAAAATGAGACTAAAGGAACATGGTGGGAGTTAGAGCAGAACACAGTTTAATAATTCTTAACTCTTTCCTGAGGTTTTGTTAAGTGGTTGTATGCACTGGTAAGCAATTCAATTTCATAATACTCAGTTCAGAGTCTTTTGTCACTCCTGTATTGAAAGCTTGTTTGCTAGAGTTTTCTGTAGTATGTTCTTCAGTTACGTGCATTTTGCAAGATGGTGCTATATAGCCTATGAAAAGACATACTGGTCACACTAAGCATGATGTATTGACTTCATTAAGAGTGCTATTTCTACATATATTACCTGCAGATCTTCTCAAAAGGTCACATTACAAACTATGTTTTAACCTTTTCATAGAAGACCTTACCGCTAATCTGCTTTCTTCACGGCTCCCTGGCTTCCAAAAACAATGTAATTGTCCAAACAGAAGTAAAACTATGACATATTTGTTCTTTTTCAGAAGAGAATTTTATATGCGTTTAGAAAATCCCAATAGCATATTAACATGCAGAGCCCTCGGGTTGAAAGTGGGCTTGTCAAATGTAACAAACATACAAAACTATGGTGAAATGCTACATCTGCAAGCACAAAAATGTCTTTCACAGAAGCAAGTATAACACAAGCTTTCCACGTAACCATGAACATACTTTATAAGCCAACTATTTACAGTAAGCAGAAGGCTTACTTTTATGTGTTTATTATAAACATGTCTCTTATTTAACAAACTAAAAAAGTCAACTTTTTATCATCTGCTATTTGAATGTAGAACATAGGCTCGTACAGCATGGCAAAAGGTGACTGAGTAATGTTAAGAGCTTACTAACATAATTGTTCTGGTGGTCAAATATGAATATCTTTGCCCATTGCATAGTGCACAAGACTGCTAAAACATTACCTACACTTACTTAGATAAAAAGCAGGAATTAATAATATACTTTCACATAAAAATATAACAAAGTGACTGAAATGAGTTCTGAAAAAGCACTCTCTAAGTTTTTATCAAAATTTATCTGATTTTACAGAACGTTACTTATTCTTCTGTCAGGTGCTATGACTATACTAAAGCAAACCACAATTTCTGTGTGTGTCAATTACGTTATGCATATATGGCATGTTCTGTCAGAATCCCTGGAACGTGTGACAGAACATTCTTCCCAAATTTCTAGAGAAAGCAAGTTAGCCTTAGATATAAATCTCTATTCACAACAAAGAATGAACAACTTGGAAGAAAAAGCAACTTGGACTTTCTTCTTTCTTAGCTACTGGACATAATAAGCAGCTGAACAGGTAAATCGAAAAATCAACCTGACAGGCCAAGTCTTGTGACAAATACACTACAAGAGATTACAAGTGAAATGCAACTTCCCTCCCCTCTCAATCACAAAACAATCTTAGCTTCACAGTCTGCATGGGACATCCAAAACATTTTAGTTAACAGCAGAATTTTCAGAAGAAAATTTCTAATGAATTGGAAGTAGAACGGGGAGCACTTCTTGATGCAACTTCAATCTGCATGGTACTCCTGCACTATCAGCTGTTTTTATTTATGCCAAAAGTTTTACCGTGGAAAAAATTTAGAAAAAGATCAGACCACTCGAGTTGCAGAGAATCTTCAAAAGAAACACTTCCCATTTATTTCATTCAGACCAGTTTTGTCTGAAGACAGAATAGAGCAACAGAAGATACAGAAGCTTTGCCAAACATCTTGTAATGAAAATAATAGAAGAGCTGTATATCTCCAGATATGAAAAATCTTTTCATAATTAGTGAAGATGACACAACCAGCTCACATACTGTCTTTCAACCTTAAGGATAATCTTGCTAACACTGGTATAAAAATCAGACTTCTTCTGACTAAAAGAAATAACCATATTTATAAAACACAATAGAAAGTATTCTTTGTTCCAAAGTCTCAAGTAAAACAAAGCTCTTAACACTTGTCAAAGTTAAATAATTGCTTCAGTCTATTGAATTTTTACTGCTACCATAGTATTGAACAAATAGGAAGAATGCTATTTTTTCAAACTATTTTCCCACATGACACATGGTAGTTAATTTACAACCATATAGATAATTAAGATACACTAAAACAGCTGCTTTGATTCCTGTAAATACAGTCACTAAGAATTACGATTTTAAAGCTTATTTTAACTGAGAACATCCCAGATCATCCTTAAGCAAAAGAAACATTCCACTGCAGCTTACCTCATTCTTGAATTTCAGTAACTAGTAAGTACAGTTTATGAAAATGCAGTCTCAAAGTCCACACAAATTTGTAAACATCACAGCAGTGAAATAACAGCTGAAGAGAAACCTGGTTAAAATCATCCCATAATTTCCAGTTTCTATTAGCTCTGTTTCTTTGACAAAGAAAAAAAAATGTTCCTTCTTGACCCGCAACACACAAATGCAAACACACCTTTGCTCATCATCTGGTCGTTTGATCAAATTGAACAGTATGTGTAGAAGCTGATCTCTCTCTTTGGGTTCAGGATGAAGGCAGGCTGTACACAGTATGAGTGGGATCAGTTCCTAAAAAGTTGCAGGAAAAGCAAACAAAGTAAACATGCTTTGGGCATACCTTCATCAACGGCAAAAGAAACCAAGAAGATTAATCTAGCCACATAAAATCAGAACAGTTAGAGAAGATGTCTTGGAGTCCTGACCTCTTGTAAAAGTGACCTGAGCAAAGTGAAGGTCTGTGAAAGTTAGAATTATATTCCTGCCAGGAAAGATCTATATATAAATAAAAATTCTGCAAAAAATTACAATAAACATATGTGGGTCACTTTTAGCCAGAGTTAGAGGACCTTGGTTTATGTTTCTCCACTACCTAATGAAGTAAGAAAGCTCCACAGACAGACACAAACCTAACGTGGAATTAAAGGCAAAATCACCAATTCAGCATGCACACAGTTTTGCGCACAACTTTTAATAAGCACTGTGGAACAGACATTGCTACAGATGATTGCAGACAAATGTCCCCTATTTTGTGTTGAGTGGGAAATATATAACTAAAGGTGTTCCTCTTGTTGTCTTTTTTTTTTTCCTCTCAACGAGGCAAGATCCGAGATCAAATTTTGTTTTCAAAGCAATTCAGTTTTCTTACTGAACAAATTATCAATAAAACACCATGTGAAACACTAATCAAAAAACAAAAACACAAAAACAGACAAACAAACAAAATTGTTCATAGCAGCAAATATATATATTTTTTTCCATATGTCTTCAAAGTGAATGAAGAAAAAATCTTCTCCTAGAAGTAAAAAATGTTTGAAAACATGGTCTGGAAGTCCCTCTTATGGATCTTCCAGCCCAGTTTGGAAGCCACAAATTTCTAGAGGATTTTATAGACAGAAACATTGCAATAAGAATTTGTGGGGGGAAGATCAAGACAAAGCAAGGTTGTCTGTAGAGAAAACAGGCAAGGACTCAGAAGACTTCCCCAGCGCACACTCTGAACTACTTTCAAAAGACAAGATTTCTGCAAAATAATAAGCAATGATAAGCAAGGAAGTGACACTGAAAAACACTTTTTAAATCACCAGGAAAAGTTATACAAAGTTTAGAAAAATATATAGAATCTGTAAGAACTTCCCCAAATTCTCTTGCAGACATTCAAAGAGACCCATTCTTGATGCCCTTGAGAAGTAAAGCTATTAAACAAGCTCAACTTTGATTTTCCTAAATACCCAGTGCTACATTTACTGTAAACACAGAACAATGCTGTGTTTTAGAAAATTGCTTAACATCCTGCTTTTTTTTCCCCCCACTGAAAATGTCAAGTCATGTCATAAGATGTATTTCAACATATTCTGGCAATATTTAATGCAACAATTAAGGAATTTACAATAAGACAGAAGAGTGCATATAGAAACATCACACCGATCACTTGAAAAATCTCGAAATACTGAAGGAGAAATGAAAAATACATTTGAGCAATTTAGACACTTCTTTTTCTCAATATTGTACCATGAACTAGATTTTGGTTTTATTTTTATATGAGTTTAGAACAACGTAAAATAGCGTGATTTGAAAATCTGTATTAAAGCTAAACATCACAAACATTATTGCAAAAAGACCCAAACAGCTTTCTTTGAGTGAGAGCTCCCTTCCCTCTAGAATCTGAATGTTAGTTTTATTCTTTGTATACTTAACACTCAGTATTGGATCCTGTTTAAAGTTCTGAGAAGGCAGGAAGTTTAACCCATTTATTTTTGTTTTGTACTCCACAGAAGCATTTTCTCTTTTGCAAACACTTTTAACTCAAAAAGACTCTAAATAAAATTACCAAAAAATACCATTCTAAATACTAATACTATTAAGATAAGATCTTTTAAAGATGAACTCGCACTTTATATACAAAACTTAATTTCTAACTTCACCATATTGATTATAGAATCTGAAAAACACTTATATAAAAAATAACTATATTACTGTACTGAGATACAACTTTCTGCAATCTGTTCTAAGTTCATATCATACTAATAAACTTGCAAGTATTCTTAAGTATTCTTTATATAGATTTTTAGAAATATTTGAAATAGGATGCATATTGTCATGATGCCTTTGATTCATCTGTTGAAACCATTGCCCTGACTCCACTTTCCTAATACACCTGAGTACCTAATGAAAAAATCTCAGTTGCTTACTCAGAACTTCCACTACATTTCAAAAGTGCCATATTATTATTTTGTTTTTTAAAGTTTCTTTTCAAGTTAAAGGGAGTTAGTAAAGCTGTTGCCTCTTCCTTTTCTCTGATGAATCTGTATGAAGAGAAAACGTTCCTGAATATTCACCTAAATGAAGACTGATGAATTACCTAATACCACTGACATGGCAGCAGATACAAGGCTGATTCTTTACCTTGCAAAAGCTGGTTATTATAGCTGAAGGAATTAGATGTATTTTCTTGTCTTTTGGTCATTCTTTCATGCATGCTATGGGAGAAGAGAGCGTTCTCTGCATCGCTGCATCAGTGCTGCTACAGTTCCTTCTATTAAGGCGAGTGGAGAAAGAGTAAGAAGTCTTGAACAGTGTTTTGTGTTTCCTATAGACTTCATGGATAAGAATATAAAACTGGACAGGTTCTAGGTCTAGAACAAAAGCTGTGCCCACAGATGGACAAGATAGTGAAATCTCCTGAAGGCTTCGAAAAGGACAGACAGATTCATGTCAGGATATTCAGGATGATTTAGAATACAGCTGTACGAAACTAACTTACAGACAGGTTCAAGATCATTCCTTTCTGCTGCTAGGGGTCATTCCCTAGATGTATACTTCTTGGATAAGACCCCTATTTTTCACTTCCAAAAACAGCAGAGGAACACTGTAGAAAGTTGAACATTTTATAATAACACAGAATAGAATTAGCATTTGTCTAATCAAGGAAAGGACTTCTAGTGCTATTTGAAACATTCTGCCTTCCCTGGGAAGGAGTAACAGTTGTACTCATGATTATGCATTGCAAATTTAAAATCCTTTTTCCATTTAATTAGAGATCATTTCTAAAAACATCCAGTTCATTGCCAGAGTCACCATTCCCTTTTCCTATGACTTAGGAAAAGCGTTATTAGTTTCTGTTAGAGCCAGTAAACAATACCAGAAAGAGTGATTTTAAGAACTGAGATACTGTTTTTTCATTAGGTGCCAAGGTGACTGCCACTATGTCAATCCCAGAATTTGTGACTTAACAAAAAAGCCTAGAAACAAAATACCACACGCTGGAGGTCTCACTTCCACTACTGGAAAGTTAAGTTCACATTTGATACAGTTTGTACCTGTGAGATATCCAATTACAGAAGGGAGAGGAAACAAGTTATTTTGTTTTTACTCTGCAATGAGCGACATACAGGGACATTTAGAGAGGTCTCCTGCACCACTGTTGATACCTTTTTGCTGAAATGCTTGTCAATAAAATAACTATCTCAATGAATAAATGCAAGAAGCATTAAATGCCAAAATCAGTTACTTTGATAGTTTGGAATTGTCATCTTTTTATTATTTCAAATGTTAAATGCAGTAATATGGTAAATAGGTGAAAGCAATGACAAATAAACCAGGATGACACTGTGATTATTTCAGTGTGCTGAAGCACTTCTCGGATGAAAAGAGGCTGAGAGTGTTGGGGTTCCTCAGCCTAGACATGAGAAAGCTCTGGGGAGACCTCCCTGAGGCTTTCCAGTACCTAAAACTACCTACAGGAAAGCTGGAGAATGACTTATCAGAGTGTAGTTATAAGACAATGGGTAATGACTTTAAACTAAAAGATCTAGGTTTTTTGAAGAAATTCTTTACTCAGAGAGTAGTGAGGCAGTGGCATAGGCTGCCCAGAGAATCTGTGGATGCCCCATCCCTGGAAGTGCTCAAGGCCAGGTTGGAGGGGGCCCTGGGCAGCCTAATGCAGTGAGTGGATGGACTTTATGGTCTCTTCCAACCTAACCCAAATAAGAATTCTATGAATGCGTTCTTTTTAATTTCCATTAGTCAGTGTTTAAATTGTGAATCAGTGCTACATGAAATCTTTTTTGTAACAAAACAGCTTGATCAACAGTGAGGCCTCGTGGCCAAGAAGGTCAACAGCATTAAGAAGAATGTAGCCAGCATGTAGAGGGAGGTGATCCTCCCCCTCTACTCCATGCTGGTGAGGCCACCCCTGGAGCACTGTGTCCAGTTTTGGGCTTCTCAGCCCAAGAAAGATAGGGAGCTACTGGAAGACAGTCCAGTGGAGTGCCACAGAGATGAGTGGTCTGGAGCATCTCCCTTACGAGGAAAGGCTGAGAGACCTGGGACTCTTCAGTCTGGAGAAGACTAAGGGGGGATCTTATCAATATGTATAAATAGGGGTAGAAGTCAAGTGGATGGGGACAGGCTGTTTTTGGTGATGCCTAGTGACCAGACAAGGGACAACAGGCACAAACTGGAACACAGGAAACTCCAAATGAACATGAAGAAAAACATCTTTCCTGTGAAGGTGACAGAGCACTGGAACAGGCTGACCAGAGAGGTTGTGGAGACTCCTTCTCTGGATAGCCAGAGCTCACGTGGATGCTTTCCTGTGTAACCTGCTCCAGGGAACCTGCTTTAGCAGAGAGGTTGGACTCAAACCTTCACAATTTTGTGATTCTGTCTCTGAAAGTCAGTAAAGCAAATAAAATCTTGACTGAAGCAACTGAAACAGCTGCAGGTACTAGGGAAAAAAAAGATACACCCTTGTAGAAGAGACTATATACTCACAATTCATCCTTTCAGACTGAAAATAAAGAAAATCGTAGGATTAATACGTGACTTGGAAATGCTGCATATTGTAATAAAGGTAGCAACAACTGGCAATTCAAGTCAGAACATTAAATACAACTGCTTGAATCCATTATGTACATTTCATTCAAGCACATAGCGCTGAAAGACTAGAGATCAAGAGGATATTTGGCAATCTTATTTAACTTTAAGAAAACTACCTCACCAATTCATATCCCGAGAACTAAGGAAGGAAACTGGTTCTGCCTCTCTTTTACGTGGGGAGACAAATGAAAAACAAAATGCATATATGGGAAAAGAACCAGCAAACAGGCTCAGAGCAACAATATACCTATTTACAGAAGCACCATCTATAAGAGCCTACCTCAGCCGATGCTGTACGAAGTATTAGAAAAAGTAATTGCTCAGTGAATTTTTCTCTTCTATTACACTTCTTTATCCCAAGCCTATTATAATTCTCCCCCCTAAAATAGAAAGTCTTTCAGAAGATAATGATGGCTGACTGTTTTCATGCCTGGGAATTCAACCTTACATAGATTTATCCAAACACAATCAGAACAAACAGTCATTACAATTACTTGGTGCGACTTCTACATACATTCATTTAGGAGGATGGTCAAACACAGTATTGTTTTTCTGTGTCTGTGGTTGTTTTTAAAATGGGCTTTTTATTATTATTTTTTTTAAATAAAGCTGGAATTTTATGACTTCAGAGGATAAGACTGGTGAAAATCAACACAATTACGTTTTAAGAGACAAATGCCCATAAAACCTGTCAGAGAATGAAGGTACCTCAGTGATGTCTATGTACAGCTACTATATACTAATGAAAACAATTTTAGATCCACCGCATTACTTTCTTCTTGCAGTGAACAGCACTCAAAGTTTGCATATTCAGCATTATGTTTCCCTTCAACTTTGCAAACAACAGCACAACCTTGTTCTTAGCATGTTTGATTCTACTTCAATAGAAATTAGAAATAAAAAACTAGTGGAGGACATTCAGTAAGCTATTACTGCTATCATTTTCCTAAGTTTGCACTACACAAATGAAAGCATACAAGTGAGACAAACTAACCTTGAAATAACAATGAACTGAAGGGTAAGAATAGTCATGGAAGAAAGAACGTTGCTTGAGAACAAGATCCTAATACTAAACCAAAAACTTTACTGTGTCCTAAATTCTGCTCAAAGACTACATATTTCAGAGCACCGAACACAGAAGCATGGTACTTCCTATTACATGAGAGAAATATATTGATTCTTACATCTCATTAAGGTTGACAGATCAGTTAAGAACTGATTATTATTTGCAGATGTGAACTGATTGTTACCACAAAAAAATAATGACAGCTTTTTCCTAAAATTTAGCCAATGGAATCTTCATATTTTACCTCCAGACAAACAAGGTGACTTATTTTAAATAAATGTTCTTCAGGTTTAAGTGGTAAACATATTTCAGGAGCGAGATTCTAATGCAGATAAAATGTTATTAACTCAAACTGCTCATCTGCAAGAAGCATTATTGCAAACTACATACTCAGCTGTTTGTTTGTTTGTTAAGAAGAAGAGTTTTTAACATTTTGCTACTTCTTGTTCCAGTTAACATTTGGCTTGCAACATCTCTGTTCCAGGTGATTGCACATAAAGATTTAAACACACATACATATTTTCTAGCAGTCATGATAAACTGGGATTTGGATTTTTGGGGAATAAATTTAAAACTAAACTTTATTTGCTGCATGGAATTTTCACGACCTTCATTGTGTGTTATTGATCTTATCCAGCTGAACTGGTCTTTCAGAAACGACCACAATCATCTCCATAGCTACCCTGTTCATTACTAGGTTTTTACTTCTTTTTGATCTTCCATTAGAACCTAAACCACAGACATCAAAGAACTAATACACAGTGTAACCAATGCACCAATACACAGAGTAAGCCATTTCAGAAACGTGCCAGCCATTCTGATACTAAGTGGTTGCTCAGATGTCAACTTATCGTATTTACTGGATCATATTTACTTAGTCCCACGTCAGGGAGGCTGCCTCTAACTTTTAAGAGGGTGAAAAGGATTGGTGAAATGGCCTCTAAATCCCTGGCTAGGGACAAAACCTATTAAGAGACTGTCATCCTCCACTTAACAGCTTCTTCAAAATGGAAATACACAACACATGTTCAGCTTCAGATTTTGCAATCAATTACAACGTGATGATGCTTAAGGAACAAAGATGAGGGAGGACCTTAGAGATTCACCACAAAACCATGTTAAATTCTCACATTAAACACAGTGACAGTGTAAGACCTTCAATACCACCACTATATATTTTCAGCACAGCCTGGTGATCACTTATGAAGTATATTGCTCATATCGAGAATTTTTAGTACATTTCAAGACCAGTTATCAATAAAATTCAGTTAATCTTTAACAATAAGACTTTATGGATAAGTCCCAAGAGGGTACCTTGTTGAAGAGAGCCTAGATCTTAGTTTGGCATTTCACAATGCTAATGTGAAAAATACTAACAGATGGTCTACCCAAAATGTCCTTCAAATTCTGTAATTACACCTAAAGGAACATTACAATAGTTATACCAATGAGTGGTAATTAAGAATAACTGTTTTTAAAGAAAATTTCAATTCTCAGAATGTTAAGCATCCCATGCAATCCAGTTACAAAATCCTCAATTTTGAGATCTTCAGTCAAATTGAAACAGATGATTCATTCAAGGCAAAAATAAATGTAATCAGACGTATTTCAACTGTAAAACAAAGTAAGTAGGAAATAGCCTAAAAAGTCATGGAAATATTAAGTGTACTGCACAGACTATGCGACAAGCAGTAATAAGGCGAAATATCACATCCTGCCAAGCAAAGGGAAGGAGTAATTAAGAAATCAGAAATTAAGCACTGATCCTAGAACATTTATAGAATTATTTCTGAAAGATTACTAACAAAATCTTTCCCATGAACCGCAAACAAAAGTCCTGCTGCACTCACCCATCCAAAACCCTGTAATATAGTTTATATAGTATGATACTTCCAAATACAGTACATCTGTAATCAAAGTGTGGAACATGTCAAATTGACCACTTCAACCACTAATAATTGCTTGTATGCTTCTAAATTTTATATTATAGGATCAGTACAAATTTCTACAGGAGTTTTGAAAGCCTTAAAACAAATTTATGCAATAAGCCCTACTAAATGTACCATACTGTAGGTCTCCTCATCAAGGACTACAGCTTATTCAACAAAATATGCTATTTTAATACCCCTGCTATGGTTAAGAACAGGGCAGCTACTTTTTTTTTTTTTTTTTTAAACATGCTTTTACTAGTGTGCAATACTTACACAGCAAAGCATAACAGCATTTCTTTCCCCCATCCTCAATCACCACCTTCCTTTTCTACATCATACAGTGTGAATGGCTATATAAAAGATTTACTTCATTTAGAATCAAAACATCACATTTTTTCAATTTTATTTAGTTTTACTACAAATTTGAGGAAAATACATGAATAAGATTGGGATTTTCCTATGAAGAGATGCCTTTGATGAACATTGTCTTGGCTGATATGTGGATCTTCAGGAAAAATACTAAAATTTTTTCAGAAGTACGCAGTGCTGCAAAATAACCTGAGCTTTAATCTGCTTCAAAACTGAGGAAATAAAATTAAATTTAATTTTTGAACTTCATCCTCTGTTCTTTGTGACCCACATCAACCAGAGCCTTCTCTAACAAAAACGCTGGCGCTACCACAAATGGATGGACCTACAGTAAGAGTTAGCGTTGCTGAACGCCAACAGGTGCCTTAAGCAAAGGAAGAAATATTCAGATACCATCATGCAGGTTTACTGAACTCACCTGACAGAGATGTAAAACCATTCTCTAGAAGCAGAGATGCATGCACAAAAGTAAGAACACGATTGCAAGTAAAATCTTCAAAATGAAGAAAGCATCCTGGTAAAAATAAAAAGTGAAATTCCCAGGTTCCTCACCTCTCGCTTTGCAAGCAGCACATTAGGAACAATATGAGGCAGGCAGCGTCCCAGCATTAGCATGACACTTTTCTCACTGTCTGCAATTCGAGATACCTAGAAAATAGAGTATATTTATATATTTTTAACTGAAGTAAAGGAATAGAAAAACATCCTTCTTGATTGGTTACTCATAGCAACTTGTACGCTTGGGCTTGGCAGCTGGTGGGCTAACTTCAAAAGCATGAATCCACTTGTTGAAACTCAAAATTTCCCAGTAATTACATAGCTATAACTAGGTAGCATATTTCAGCTAGAATCCTTTTTTCTTAATTTTCATGCTCATAAACTGCCCTTTCAGTGTACCTTGATAAGCACTGACGCAAAACAAATGATGGTTTAACTACTGCTATCATACAGAAGGAATCTTCTAGTTTATGCCAACTGGGAAACATACCTCTGATCCCAAACGACTATCTGCTGACATTCGACAGAAAGACAGTAGTGCTTGATGGAAAGCTGGTGACAATTTCCTGAAATATCATCAAAAAGGGAGGGTGAGGGAAAGTATGGATCAGAAAGGTAACGACTTTCACTCTGGTTCAGCCAGCTAGATAAAATAACATTCAATAGCATTTGTTTTCAGTTTTCAGTGAAGCATGCAGTAGAATATTCACAATTACCTTTCACTTCTATGATTTCCAGTTTGTAACTAGAAAACAATAGATGCCCTAATTAACAAGTTACTTTCAGTTCCTAAAAATGTCATGTCTTTCAGATTGCTTCACAGACAAAAATAGAAAAGGAAGAAGAAAAAGACATAAAGAAAAAGGAAGTTTCAGCAATACAAGAGGAAGCATACTCTTTTGCAAACTGAAGGAAAAAAATACTGCAAGCAACCAGCAGTTTTTGCTCAACACTCTGATTCTGTACATTGGATAAAAAAAAGTTTGAGTAGTCCATCACTTACAAGCTTCAGCATTAAATCCAGACTAAACTGCCAATCTAGAATCTAAATTGTTGGGTTCAGATGGATAGTGAAAGCCTGACTTAAGTTGCTGTCTAATCCCTGATGTTTATTTCTAGAAGTACCACCTCGTGGATATGCACTGAACCAGCAAACACCGTCCAGCTACTCAAAGCCTCAAGTACAAACACAAAACTCTGATACGAGTCTCAGAACTAGTTTGTCCAAAGAATAATTTGGCAGAAACGACCTCAGAAGACCCTGACTGATCATTATGTAGTACAGGCAACTGTTGGCAGCAGCATCATATGCCTTTATCTTCTGTATTTAGAGACTAATCTAACTGCTTCATCCACTATGCTTCAAGAGAGAAGGAGCATTTGTCCTTCAGACAGAGGGCAATTTCTTTCTTTTGAGGAAAATACACTTTTTAATACTTCAACTCTTAAAACTGCTATTTTGAGAGCTTAAGTGAAGAAAAGCCTACATATATGTGATTGTACATGTATGGACATATATATTTTTATTCAATAGGTTGAAAAGTTACATTATCCACGGGAAATGTATACAACTCTTTTCTAACCGAAGAAAGAAAAACATAAAACACCAACATAAAAAAATCTAATTTCTTGCTTAAAACAGTCTAATCTAAACCAGAAGGATTTAGATAAATATACAGAATAGCCTTCCTCTTCTCTTTAAGTTTTAATGAAGTCAGTTTATTTTAATTCAAATCAGCTTGATTTTGTAGGAGAGTTCACTTAAGAAAAATAAGAGATCCAGATGGTAGTGAGCTGTAAAGGACCTTGGTTTAATAATATGCTAGCCCTTACTGCATAAAGGCATTACTGAATGCCATATTTGCAGAAGCTATTCCAGCCTTTAATTACACTGGGAGAACTGGAGCAAGTGTTGCAAAGCAGTACTGTAATATCAACAGAATCAAAGCCAACCTCTCTCTTGGCTGTTCATTTTAATTTTACCTTTGCACTCCACAGAATATCAAATTCTTATCTACCTGAAACCTTAATTAAATACTCAAACTGGGACAAAGTTCTATCCTCATTTTGCCGAGAAAAAAAAGACCAAGTGTGACAGCATTTCCCTTGAATTTCCCTAGGGGTTAATTAACAGGCAAGCTCTGGGCAGCATAGGCTCTCTAAGTCCTACTACCTACATTTATATTCTAGAAAGCTGCTTTATGAAATTTAATAAAACCTCTTCTAACAGAAACAGTGACAAACTCAGGCCTCTTTCACCAAGTCAACAGAAAGCCTTTTCAAGGACCAGCAGATGCCAGTAACAAAGTGCAAATATAAGAAAGCATGATGAAGACAAAATGCAAGCACTACTTTTTTCCCTACATAACTAGGAGAAAGGAGACAATTTATTGAAAAATTGACTGCTACATGAAGAAAACACCTTGTATTTGGTTCAAATTACCAAACACCTAAAACAAGTTGAATAAATATATGCAATGGAGTCTATTTAAACTTCTGCTAGTGCTTTCTGCTGCAATCTGTTACACAAGGCACTTCTCCAAGGATCCCCATGTCTTCATTTTTGGGCATGTACACACACCTGCTCCTGTTACAGTCACATCAAGCAGGCTCACTTGCTCTCCCATCATCTTTTCCCATCTGGTTAAGATTTATGCCAAGAATCCATCCTCTAGCTACAGTAGTAACAGTCTTGTCTTTGAGAACCAAGTCCTAGCTTTTAATGCAGTTTTTTAACAACTCTTGAATAAACTAAAGTAATTGTTCTCTACAAATGACTGCCTTAGATTGAATAAAATATATATGCAGTACATGAGTATCTTGAGATCTGTGGGAGAAGCAGCATTGTTTAAGAAACAGTATAATTCTTTCATGTAGTCAGCTGAGAGATATAAGCCTGTAAAAACACTATCAAGGATTGTTTCCTTTGATCCTTCACTGACATGTAAAACAGGAAATTCAGTGCCAAAATAGCTACGTATTACACACACATCACTTATTTGTGCACCAAATGCTGTATCAGTGCATCTCTGAAATTAATGGACTCCATGTAAACTGAAGGTTTTATTCAGGGTAGTTTTTTTTCTAAAATAAATAAATAAATAAATAAAAATGCTGCAGCAGCCATACATCATTGCACATGGGTTTTAAAGGCCTGTGAGCCAGCAAAATAAATTAGTTTAGCTATTCTAGAAACTTGTCATATATTCCTCTGGAATTCCTTCCTTATTCATAGATCTCATCCTATTTTAATACCCATCCTCTACTATCTCCAAACTACCAATCTACTATTTGTGTTCTTAATTCCTCCCAGCAGTCCCAGTTACACTGAACAAAAAGAAACTTGTAAGAAGGCACAGATGAAGGCAAGCATACAAATTTACAGTCATAAATGTATGACAGGTACAAATTTTGATTATTACACAGCCTCAGTGTTCAGCTAGAATATGAAAGAAATATAAAAATACATTAAGCAAATCCTGAAAGTTTAAATGGAATCACTGAAAAAATTCAGATAAGTCCCACCTGAGTTTTACTTTCTTACCAAGCACTAATCATTCAATTAGAACAGATGAAATTAGTAGTAACACTAACATACTGTACTCAGAAATTAAATATCTTTCCTGCTGCTCCATTCTAAAAAAACCTGCCTTTATCTCCCAGGATTAATGTGAGAACTTACAAGACACATAGGATTTGTGAGCAAAGTTAATTATTAGCAAGGGTAGTTACTCTTTTTTCTTTCTTTTTTGGAGGGAGGTGAGCAGGGGAAGTAATTTTCAGCTTCTACTCATTTTTCTGTCTGTGCAGAATACCACACACGTCCATTTCTTCTTTGTATTACTTTCCTATGCATGCTCTCAGTTGTACATACTTTACTATCTCTGCAGCCTGCTCAACTCCTAGTAGTACACTGTTGTCTTTTTCTTATTCAATAAGTTACTTCCCTTCTTCACTATAGTGCTTAAAAATCCTGCATATATTTCAGAGACTTTCCCAGCAGCATTCAAACGCACAGACTCATAGTTTCCAATTAATAACATGAATACTTTATTTAATTAAAAAGAATCATAGTTACCTAATGAAGACAAGCCTCAAATTCAAACATCAAAAAACAAGAGAGAATACCAGTTGATACTATTTCTGGTTTAAAAAAAAAACAAAAAAAACCCTAAGTTTTTAAGTGCCCTAGGAGAATAACTACTAAACCTGCATTTCCAGAGGGAAAAACTAAAGTCTTTCCAACCACTCTCCAAGTGGAATAGATTTCATTACAAAACTAAATTGTAATGGAGAACACAAACAACCTGTTTTCTCATTCATCACTTTAATTTTGGCTTTTCATTTTTGACACAAAGATTATGGCAAGATTTAGAAACAAGTAGGAGGTGAGAAGAAGCACTTACAGTTGATGCTAAAAATTGCCTTCCCTAAAAATCAGTAGGAACACTATGCGAAAGTATCATCAGTGTTCAATAAAGGCATGCTAAGCCTTTAATTCATATTCAAAACAAGAATGATTTCTGCCTGTCGCTGGGCTTTGTTAGAGAAATTATACACTTCTTAATTTTTAAAGCATTTTATTTTAAAACTAATCGCTCACCTATTCGGTTTATCAAAGTGCACTGCAGTTTTAGCTGATGGAGCACAAGAGGACACTTTCTCTGTGTCTTTACAGGGGACAGAACTTAGTGTATCATCTTTTGAAGTCCTTGTATCATGTTCAGCTGATGAAGAAAGGCTTTTTTCCTCAGCGTCTGCACGTTTACTGTCATTCTCAGAGCTCTTGATATCCAAGTACCGTCCATTGTCCTCTGAGACTGTGTGAGGCACTTGCTCTAAGGAAGGATGGGGAGCTACACCATAAACTGTAGACACGGCAAAGTTTCCATTCTTGAGGAAATCTATTTCACTGAAAAAGTTAAAACCAAAAATGAATGTTTTTGTTACTTTCCTGACAAGGTTGCCGGAATCACAAAGCAAGGACAGAAATAAGGACAACACACTGAACAGTTCTTTCTTCAAATCCAGTACGTTCAAAGTTTCTATCAAGTTCTTCAGATGAGCACCAGTTTACCAGAGGTCTTCAGTCAACAATAAGTAGAAGGAAAAATGCTGCATTCAGAACAAGCGATTCAATGCTATAAATAAGTGACAACAGCTAGTGTTATAATGTTTCTGGCTGAACTCTTAGTACTGAAACATACTGCCCACAGAGACACCCATATGGGGCACAAAACTCAACATACTACAGAAAGAATTAGTACAAAGATCCCAGTTAGTTTTGAAATGGTAAGAGTACAAGTCGTTAAAGTCACTGAAAAATTGTCTAACTTGTCCTAACATTCATTCTCCTAAGAAGAATGGAATCTTACAGCTTACAGAATCACGTTTTGAACAACCTTTTAAAGGCTTTTTATCGTCGTTGTTCAAGATCTTGTCACTTCTATCACAGAAAGAAAAACGGTATTAAAATAAATTATTTAAAATACAACCTTAAACAGCATTGCAACCTCTTCACAGTGCAGTACTGCAGAGTTAAATATAGCTGACTGAGGAGCAAAATCTACACAAAACACATCAGAACTGATGCTATTTTCAGTTAAGTAAATAAAGAAGTTGCACTGAGGGAACAAAGCTAATTCCAAAATTAAACAATGTCAGTAATCAAAAGATAAATGCTCAGTTTAAAGTCTCTTGGTTTTTTTTTCTCCCCCAAATCAAATACCACACACTAAAAGGAAAGATTGCACTGCTCCAAAGAACTCCTAGCAATTTTGTAGGTAAAAACTGTGCTTTGATACATGTGCCAGAAAAACATTGAGAAGTTATTCTGACATTTATTAGCAGTTAAGCAGATGGATAAATACATACCTCTCAAGTCTTTGGATTTGTTCCATCAAAGACCATTTCTCATTGTTTAAAACACTAATTTGATCTTCTAATTTCTGCACTATCAAACATTGCTAAATACAAGATAGAGACAGAAGAGGTTAGCACAACGAAGTAATGATGCAAACAGTTGAAATTTCTTTCGTACAGCCTCTTACTTCTATTGATTGTGGTGTTGTTTCAAATACCGGAACTGTCCCAAGTACAGGGGTGGCAGCCTCCAACTCATCATCATCTACACCAACTGATACATCCACCACATCTCTTGTGGTAACATGATGGTTTCCAAAGTCCCGATAGAGTTGTAAAAGGTCAGGAGGTTTCGGAATGTTCAATCCCACATCATCCCACAATTCAAAATCCTTCAAAGCAATAAGAGAAAACAAACCACACAATAGACTTATTTCTAGCACTGTTTTTCTTCCTTGTTTAACTTAGGTCTGCATTCAAAGAAGAGCAAAACAATCACGTCAAAGCTGCACCGCAGTAATAAGAGCTCATTTCATAACCTAAAGCAGTCTCACCCTAAAGACAGTTCTAAGCAGTGTATTAAAAAAGAGAACCTTCCAAAACACACAGCTCACAATTTTTTTTGTGCTCTAGGATACAAATACTTTGGAGAATCAAACGTATAATTGATCAAATTCTAACAGAAGCCAGTAAATGTGGTAGAAGACTTCCTACTGATAGGGCTATCACTTTGTTCCCTTCTCACTTACATGTACAATCTTCCAAAAGGAGACAGTCAAATAGCTCTGAAGACAACTGATAGACAGGGTGTGTATTTTCAGCAAAATCTGGACATAAGTGTATTCAGTGTACACTGATGAATACAATAATACAACCTTCCATCTCAAACTGTTAAAACTTGACCTTGTTTTTTTCACTGACATGTAACTTAACTATCCTACAAGATTATTTCACATTTATATACACTAATAACCATGTACACTGATAATGAGGAGTTGTGATGCTCTCTTAAAAGGAGTTAAATCTCAAATAGATTCATGCTTTTATTTTTTTACTTCAAGAATGTTGACAATTTTTTTTCTAGTCTGATTATATATAAATTTAATATTAAATACATACAAAAGCAATGTGCTCCTGCTGCAAAGATTAATGATATTCTAGACTGCATTATGCCAAGTGCAGTCAGGCCAAGGGAGGTGACCTCTCCCCTCTGTTCAGGGTTTGTAAGACCATATCTGGAGTGCTGTGTCCAGTTCTGGGCTCCCCAGTACAAGAGACATGGACACTGAAGAGAGTAATGGGAAGGAGCTATGAAAATGGTGAAGGTACAGGGACTAGAACATCTCTTCTGTGAGGAGCAGCCAAGAAAGCTGGGACTGTTCAGCCTAGAGAAAAGTGGCTCAGGGGGAAATTTCATCAGTGTATATAAATACCCTAAGGAAGGGTGCAAGGAACATGCAGACAGGTTTCTTTCAATGGTGCCCAGCAACAGGACAAGAAGCAATGGGCACAAACTGCAATGTCAGGAAACACTCATTTACTGTGAGAGTGACCAAGCACTGCCACAGGTTGGAAGTTGTGGAGTCTCCTCCTTGGGGAGGTGAGAGCTGTCTGAACATGGACTTGTACAACCTGCTTTCGATGCCACTGCTTGAGCAAGAGCTGGACCTGACAAATTGCAGAGGTGCTGTCCAACCTCAACATTCTAGAATTTTATGACATTGTTTGGAAACTGCCTTTCTAAATACATAAGCTGAATAGTAAAATACAATTAGAGATAGTTATCATTACCTTCTTTTGCTTCCTTTATAGAAAGCAGAGACTCTTGTCTACTTCCTACAGACTTGGAGAATGTACTTCTCAAACAGCTGCTTCCAAGCCATGCTTTTTATATGAAAATGCTAACATTTAACTCTTAGAATACTCATTTAAGCTCACTTGAGCTTACAAAAAGATCTGAATGTGGAAAATTCATGTGTAATAAAAAAGAAAATCTTACCTGATCATGGTTTTCATCTGAAAATGTTATTGACGTAAGCTTGTAACTATTCTTCAATAAAAATTCATTAACTAGGAAGTTTAGAGCTCTTTTCTCAAGAGGTCTGATTGGCTCCTGGAAAAAAAGAAAACAATACACTGCATCTTTGATTCATCTTGCTGTAAGCTACTGAAGCATATCTGCATTAAGGCCCATGCAAAGCTCAGTTTTCACCAGCCACCTACCTGAATTTCAGGACTTGATTTATAATTTTTTCGTTCCTGCAAAGGAACTTCATTTTCTGGGGAGGAAAAAAAAACAGTAACTAAATTTTACTCTTTCAACCAGGATGAGCTCAGCTACTTCTACATTGTTCAAAGTAGAGGCTTAAGAAAAGGTTTGTGTACACCACCTGCAGCCTGAGTCAGGTTGGCTCGGAGGGCCTGTATGGTCTCCTTGGCTTTCCGTAGTTCAAACTCCAGGACTGGACAGGGATTTGGATTAAACACACACAGGCATCCAACCAAGGCAAGGGAAACAAAAAATAAAATATAAAAAGCAAGGATGGGTATGAAAAAAAATATACAGTTTGTATTCAACAGAAAGCATGCAGTCTTCATGGAACTTATGAACACATGCAGCAGAGTTGGTCTGAAAGCAAACTGGTGAATGTTTTCCATCGGTTCATTGGGATTAATTAACTAAGCCAAAATTTCAAGCTGTCTGACAAGGACTCGCTGTAGGCTGTTTTGTTTTTATTTGGCTGCTTGTTTTCAACTCTGCATTACTGGAAAAAGTTTGTTAGTTCTTCTTCACGTATGGTCAGCTGGTACTGTCAAAATTTTAATTTCTAAGGGGCAGGGGACAAAGATCAGATCTAAATAATGCACATACATGTTGGTGGCAGTGTTAGCTGTCTCCATGCAGCAAAACTAAAACCCTAATGTGAATGCACTGTCCCACTGAGACTACTGATATTTTTTTTTATTTGAAAGTAAGTTTATATATCGAAATTACTGAAATATTTATACATTGAAAAATATTATTTTTAGTGGCAGAATTTGAAGCTTGCCTCATTTTCTTACTAAAATTTCTTACTTTTTAAAACCTTTTTTTTTTTTTTCTTTTGCTTCATGTTTTCAGGAATACCCTAGAAGTAATTAAGACTTAAATGTTGAATACATCTATGAGATGCAAATAAAAAAACCCAAAATCTGCAGCTCCCTCAGTGCCTACAGAGAAGCTCGCAAGAAAAATGTCTTTGCTCCATTATCCTTTAATATTCCAGTGAGTCTTGGGGATAAAACATATTTAACCATCTAGTGTAAGTTTTAGAGATTTCAAAACACAAAATTCTAGGTGACACTTCCACCTGCCTTCAGCCCTATCACTGTTGTGAGTTTCTCACGTTCTGTTACTCTCTCTGAAAGAGCCAGGAGTGCTTTGCTTGCACTTGAATTTCACACATTTTAATTTTAAGCCACATGTATGTACTGTGGTGTCAAATTTTAACATCTTGTACCTTGCAAAAGATACAGTAAGTGTCTTAATAGCTACTGTAAAGAATGAGCTTTGTAATGAACTCATTGAGAGAAGCATAAAGCAGTTACCATACCAAAATGTTTGCATAATTGAACTGGATGCCTAACATTTACTTAATTTTGAATCCAAAGCAAAGCTAAAAATGCTGTAGTTGCTTTTAATACGAATGTATTAATAAGACTTTTAATCATTGCCTGGAAACAATTTAATGTGGCATTTTGAAATATTTGCAAAAGACAGCACAGTGCAGAAGTACTGAATTTAATCATCTGTAAGAAATGCTGCTGAAGACTACAAAAACTGGTTTCCTTTTTGGAACACCTGATTAAGAACTTTTTGATCAATAGCATGCATGGAAAAAAAGATTCACTCAGTTTGCATTTTTCCATAAAAACTGAAGGAGTAACTACAGTACACCACATTTGCTACATGAAAGGAACTTGTTTGATGCACAGAATTTTACTGCAGCGATGTTAAAAGCACAACTGAGGATATGATGAATAAAATATGCGAAATCTCTAGTATTCAGCAATGCTGATCTGCAAATACTTCTGTGCAACAAAGTGAGAAAATGCTCTTGTAGTGAAGCATCTGATCGTTTTATGGCTTCCTTGCATTCACAGTTAAGATTCTAAGTTGAAAGCTGCTTGTTTTTTAGTTTTTGCAAATTACAATAAATTCAAATTGACTAATTTTTTTCTGATGGAAATGACTCTTGACATTTTATTCTCTGAAAATATTATCAATGACCAGAACAGTTGCAGATCAGGAGTGCCCTGCACTAGAATGATAGAAATTTAAAACAACAACAAAAAAGTTAGAAAACCAACATAAACTAGAAAACTAGAAAAACTCAGGTATCTCATCAAGGAAAATAGGAATAAAACATGACTGAAGGTATAGAAAGCCAAAAAAAAATCATGTCAGACAAACCCATGTCAGACGGCAAGAATTACTTTTTTAGTAAACTCTGATGTGCTGAAAATTCTTAGAAGCCATTAGGACTTCACCCAGTCAACCTTTTAGGAAGATTACTCTGCTGCATGTTTCTCTGTATACAGTGGAAGATTCTGAACGTACCATATCTGTGAAGAACTCACTTCACAGCCTGTCACAACAGCCACAATAATGCTGCTACAAACAGTAAGCTCATAATTGTACCTCCTTTCTTGCCTTAGGAATGTCAACATTGTAATTGTCACTATACAAACCATAGTGCATCTGGAAGACACAAATTTAGCTTTTATTTGAAGAAGTTTGTTCCTAGGTTTTAGTCAATTTTTTCCAAATATTTACAATGCAATTTTAATAGTTTTGTATTATAATTAGAAGCTCTTTATTTCAGAAACTATGTGGAAATGCACTGTTTTGCCAAAATACACAGAGATGTTTAACTCAAGGCGTACACCAATGAAACCAACATGGAAATCCCCATTTGTTAATGATCTGACTTCCTTTGTAACCATTTGCCAACCAGTGGCTTTTAAAAGGAATCACCTGGTCTCTCTCTCTCCCTCCCCTCCTTCTCCTAATGTTTACCTACCTTAGAAAATTTAACCTTTCAATAACATTGATAAAGTCAGCTGAATATTAACTTAATGCTTGACTGAATTCATACCACATATAATACATTAGTGAATGGAGCTAAACTGAGCATGACATACAGAAGAGTTTCTTGACACACAGCTAGGAAAGTAAAGAATTAAGTTAACTCTCTATAGGAAGGCACAGAGCAGTACTTAGGAGCTATATGCTTGTGTTATCTTGCAACAAGAAGAGTGCATTCTGAATTTAAGGGACTCCCTTGCTTTTTCTCTTTAAAGAACTCAAATCATTACACCTACCATCTGTGGGGAAAAAATTTACTTAGCCTTATTTAAAAGACTTGAGTCTTTCAAGAAAGCAACTAAGGATTAGAACAATTCAGCACTTCTGTTTTTAGGCAGCTACTCAAGCACACCTTAAAAAAAGAAGTGCATAGATGAAATGGGAAGCTCACCTGCACAGCTTACAAATTTTAAAATAAGGCTTTTTCAAGGATCTCTTTCTATTCATCCACATTTTTTAATGACTTCAGAAGATGTTGAAAGATAGAACAAGAAGTTAATTATAAGGAGCAACTTGTGGTTTGGGACACTGAACAATGAGATGCACACGAACAGCACTTTTGTTGGTCAAAGGCAAATAAGTCAAAAAGTAAACATTTTCAGCATGCATTTCTACTTACATGGCAATCATTAATTTTATTATCACCAAAAGAACAGTATCTAAAATGAGCAGATTCTCAGAACAGTAGATGACAATGATAGGTTGGCAATGCTAAATATTTTAAAATATGGAAGAGTTTTTAGGTCACAAACATACCTGCACAGTCAATTTAAGATGTGGCAGAAGATTCAGTTCTTAGATTGAATGTCAGATGACCTATTTACACTGAATACTGCAGGTATATGACTTCAAGTAGGTTTTCCATTCTCATGAAAACAAGTATTTGGAGAAGGTTCCCTAAGCCTCATAAATCCTTCAGTACTGACCTTATCTTAGTACCAATTGGTTCAGCACTTAATAGTCTTACAGAAGAAGTTGTTTCATCCAGTGCATTGTAAGCACCAATGATGCTTTTTTGTTGTTGTTGCTGCTGTTAAAAGTTTGAGGATTATGAATTTTTTTATCCAGTTTGTTACATGGCGCTCTACATCCATAGTAAGATCCAGCAGATGTCAGGTAGATGAGGAAGAAAATAGATATTTTCCTACTACAATTAGTTCTGTGATGTTTATCCACATCCTGACTGGCTTCTGTGAATTATATCTGTTCAGACATGCTGATGACAGTATTACAAATGAGAGTCACTAAACATCCTTTGATCAGATTTCCCAAATGACAAGTTCATGCCAACTCTTCAAAACACTTTCGCTTCTAGGCTTTTTAATGTCAGATGGAATGAGCTGGACCAACAGAACTGAAATACTGAAATCTACTTCAAATAATAAACCTTCTATTTATTTCCAACATTTTTTGGACTGCCAAAAGGAGAAACCTGGCAGCCAACCCTAACACCATCCATAAAAGCAAAACTGGAAACATGATGGCTTTGGACAGTCCACATAGACATTTTTTTCATTTGGCTTTTCCAATGTAAAAAAAAAGATTTGTAACTGGATACATAATAACTTCATTTTAAAAGTACTTCTGACTCAGGATTCATTACTGACTGATATGCATTTATTTTTTATCCTTCATTTGACATTTGCTAGGAAACTGATAATAGAAATAATGGATTCTGTCCAAATGGTTAAAAAAAAAAAACAACCCAAAGATAATAATATGAGAAATGTATTTTAAAAAAAGAAACTATTCTAATCTAACTCTGAGAATTATCAAAAGAATATGTGACTATCAGATTGCAGCCTGCAGCTCTTGCAGTAGATTACAGCTTTAATGCCTGCTCATTGATGCTCTCTGCTGAGAAAAAAAGCCTACGGTAAGAAGCAAGGTAGACTTACATTTGAAAGCACATCTGCAGGTAAGGTTGACTTTAAAAGTAGAAGCTAATAGCCAGTTTTTGTTCAAAGAAGGAACTGCGCATATAAAGGCTTTGCAATCTCTACTGAAATGTTTTTCGTGTGCATGCTGAAGACTTGCATTTTCCTGAATGGACTTCCATGAGACAGCTTACTGCTTGGACAAAGGGTCTGATGCAGAATTGGGGCAAGATATTTTAAGCAATTACAACTGAATTAGAAATGTTATGTTTTGGAAAACTTACAACTTTACAAGCAACCAGAAATCCTATCTAGTCTTGCTTTGATTCTTACATCACTTCTAGTAACTCATGGAAAAACATCTCTAAAGAGCACAAGCATATAATTTAAATATTCTGACATAATTTACTTATCTATTACATGACGACAGTCAATTACTATACTGTAGTCTTCCAAAATCTTTGTTCTAGGAAACGATTTATTATACTTAGTATTTCATTTTAGGATGCATTGATTTCATACTGTAAACAATCAATATTTTGTCATTAATGTACTGCCAGAAGATGAATGGTTCTGCTGTCAGTTCTGCTCAGTTCTTACTTTCTGTAATCCAATTCAATCAGAAAACACAGCTCCAAGCTAAGATCAAGCTAGCTCTCTCAATAGTAGTACTGTCAAGAAAGATTGCCTAGATATAGAAAAAAAAATCTATCAAGATGGTGAAAATTTAAAAACTGCTAGCAAGTGTTTACTTTCACATTGTATTCCAGAACATGATACAGAAATATCTGGGTTCCTTAAACACACTGTTCAGAAAACCTGGCAGTTTTCATATAAATAAAAGAAAAATCATTACCTACAGTTACAGGTCAGAATATCACAGTATCTGAATATGCTTCACGTTCATGGATTTCACCATGATGAAGCACGGGGGTTTGAAGCAGATAACAGTACGGAGCAGAAACAAGGCAGCTTCCATCACTTCAGGCTTCATAAAGATAAACAACGTGAAAAAAGGTCACAGCATGGACAAATTCCAAGTGTTTATGATACTGACTGGAACTATTTCACTGGAAATAAACTGAGCAGCAAGTTCTACTGACATTTTTATGGTTTTCTCCAGAGAAGCTGTGAGTAGCTAAACAACTAAGCTCAGGAAAAAACTGGATTGTAGCAACATGGCTCACATGCAAAAAAGATTATAATAATAACTTCAAAGATGAAAGAAAGGCAGTCTCTTCACATCACCTTTTGTGATGTAACTGAAAACCCTGAAATTTAAAATTTCCAAGATTCTTAATTGAGAACTACAAGAAGCGAGAAGTCCTATCACAAGAAAACATCTTATACAATCTAGAAATAAAACGGGAAGAAAAGTGCTACAGTTAAGATTTGTAGCAAAGATGACTTGCGGAACTGACAAAATCCAAAATTCACCACGGGTTTGGCAAAGCATATTTGATCTAAATGTAAGCTATGTTTAACCAGATGTCTCACTGCCAATCTTCGCATGAGAAAGCTGCTACCTCTGCAATAGCCACAGACTGCTACACACAGTGATTTAGAAGTGTTTCAACTGCATGCTTGCAGCCAATAGGCAATATCAACACATTGATCACTGTCTGAGATTGGTCCCAGCTTTCAAGTATATTCCTTACTCATATAAATAAGTAACATAAGTCATATAAAAGCACAGCTGTCTGAATGTTCACAGTCATTACAGTACAACATCTGAAACCTAATCTATCATTAAGTGACTAGGTAAACCATCACAGAGAAGTCTCGGCAACTTCGGGAATATTTAAATATGTTGCTGCTAAAAACAACGTGCCAAATGGTAAAGTTGGCAATCTGTGATTCCTAAATCATACAAACTTACCCGCCACTCTTTCGTCCGCTTCCCTATTGCCGTCGTCGGAGTATCTTGCAAAATCTAAGGAGTCAAGAGTACTGATGCTTCCAGCGCGATCTTAAGAGAGAAGAAAGAGCCGAAAAGCAAAAACAACTTGAGTCTTGAAGAGTTGACTATTCAATAAGGCAAAACATCTCATTTCAAAAACTATTAGTAAAAGGTGAACTGTGCTGCAAGAGTGGAATTTCACTACATTTTCCATAAAGTCTGCCTGTAGACAAATACATTTCCCTTTTCAGCTTGTAAAGACAGCATTTCTGCCCTTGCCACAATACAGCAGGAGCAGCATACAGAGCTCCTTCCCTTTTCCACAAGAGCTAGAGACTTTGCTTAGATGTAACCGAGCAAACAATAAGAAATAGATTCAGACCACTCTGTAACAAGCTGCAAGCAGTTCTCTTCCCCTTTTTAGTATTTTGAAATTTTGAAACATTAGCAAAGCCAAATGCTCTATTAACTCTCAATTCTATCTGAGAAATTCAGTACGTACCCACTTAATAGAACATTAACCAAGGACTGTGTTATAGCAAAAATAAAGACCAGCACAGTTCATAGTACTGCAGTTTTAATATTCATGCTCTAGAATTTAATTTTTAAATCACGAAATTCAGTAACCAGCAAAATGCTTTGATCTGGGCTCCACCTTTTTCTTTTGATCTCCCCCTTCTTTCATTAGAAAAAATATGCAGTAGAATTGCTCAAACAGCAACAGAACCCAAAATAAGTAGAATACATTCATGATTTGCACGTTCCACTGTATCAGGTACTTTAAACCGCATCCCTCGTTGCAAAATTAATCTCTGTGTAGCTCTCCTGAAATAATTTTAATTACATTAGAACTGTTGTCACTTTAACAAAGAGCAAATTCCAGTTGGCTGTCAAAAAAAAGAAAAAAAAAAAATAGGAATAGAAGCAATTTCATCCCTTGTCAGTCACATTCTGTCATGACTAACACCATGGAAAACATGTAAAATGGAACAGATGTAATTCTATACTGTGTCAAAAATTAAAGAATCTACTAATGTTTGGGGTTTCTTCGCACATTTAAGCCCTACACTGATACATAAGGTATTGTGACACCCTCTGTACACGAACCAGCACCAAAAGGAAATCAGAACATTTGGATACACATTATTTTGGTTACTTGCAAAACTTTACACGGGAAAACAAGCTTCCTAGGTCAAGCAGAATAATACAGCACCAAACTGAAGTGCCTGAGACAAATGTGTAGATATATACACACACATACACACATCACAGAAGCGATTAAGTTCAAAAGAAAACGTGACTTTTGAATACATGGCATGAAAGTCTTCAGATCTGATATTACAGTATGCCTAATGCTGTTCAGTAAGTACTGTTCCAATTCATTTCACTTGAAATTGGATAAAATTGAATTCAAGGCTCAAGTTAAACAAAGAAACAGCATACAAATAAAGATTTCAATGACAAAAATGGCATTTGAGATAGGTGACCCAGTCTTATGCATACTATTATTAAGGCAAATGCACAGAATCATTTTCTATGCCTCTTATCCAGCAGTAACATCAGAGTAACAACTGCCAAACTTTCAGGAAGCCAACCACATAATAACTAACAGCTCATCCAAAGCTGTACATAGAGATACATTTTCCATCCCAAAGTCCAAAAAAGAAACCCAGCAACGAAACACAAACCTGTTTACCAAAACAGCAACCAGAAATTAAAAGAGAAAAAAATCATCTTTCAATTTAAGTCTGTATCAAGACGTACACAACAGAAACCATATAAGATTGTACCAACAGCTGTAAATCTAACAATTCCCAGCCAGCAAATATGTACCACTCTTACATGATAAAAGGTCCTTACAGAAACAAAAAAACCCTCAACAACCATGTACTTTGATGACTTTAACATCCAGAAAGGGCCTTAAACATCACACCTATGTGCACACTGGCAATTTCTAAGTTTGAAATTCATGCATTCATCATTTAAACTCCCCCTCACCATCTGAGTATAGACAATAACAGAAACATCTGAAGCCCTCCTTACGTATGGGTTGGTACATACAGCTCCCTCATACATAACTTACTTCTCAAACAGGTAAATTAAACTTGGTCTGTGTGCTTCAACAGTGTGAAGCTAACAGAATCTATTTAAATTTAAGATTTACAATGAAAACCACCTTTTTATCTATCACTGTGGTGGAACCTGAATTTAGACTGAGAGAGGTGTAGCACAACTGTATAATGAAAGAATATTAGGATGTTATAATCACAAAATAAGCAATAGTTAGGCAAAGCAGACTATGATAACAAAAGAGAATAAATAGAAGGCTTACCCCTATCCTGGGCTCACTCACAAAACACCAGCAGAAGCAATCTCCAGCAGAGATCCTTCCCCTCTGGTAGCCAGCTCTTAAATAGGTCCAGGAGGGCTGAAGCCAGCCTCCACTCCTTCCGGCAGCACAGGAGAATTGCCTTCACCTGTGCTCTCTGGCTGCCTCATGGCTCGCCTCAGGTGATCAATCAGAGGTTCAGGCCGTGCCTCAGCAGTACCCATACAAGAACCAAGCAAATGCTGAAGCAAAAGCACCATAGCAGCATATGCACACAGACTGAACACCGGCTTCTCAGATCAATGTCTCTCAAAGCAATACACAATGCAGATGTAGGAAAATATAGGGAGTGGTGAGGTGCTGGAACAGGCTGCCCAGAGAGGTTGTGGATGCCTTGTCCCTGGAGGTGTTCAAGGCCAGGTTGGATGGGGCCCTGGGCAGCCTGGTCTGGTATTAAACGTGGAGGTTGGTGGCCCTGTGTGTGGCAGGGGGGTTGATGATTCCTGAGGTCCCTTCCAATCCAGGCCATTTTGTGATTCTGTGAAATTACAGCTTCTAGAACGCAACTCAAGCTAAATGCTTAGCTTGAGCAATGTAACAAGGTTTTTATTACCACTTCACTACAGTACACCACCTTTAAAATAGGTAGTGTGGCTCTTATACCAACCACTTCCTGCTACATTGGGGAGAGGCCACCGGGCTGAAGCACTTGGGCTGAGACATCTCTGGGCCAAACCGGCTCTTCAGGCATCAACAAGTCATCTCTACTGAGGTTAAGGGCCCTGCCAAGTGCCAGCTATAGAGAAAGGTTAGTCACCAGCGCTCTGCTGGGCCACAGCTCCTCAGCAAAGGTGCTTCAGGCAGCAGGTAACTTGTTTCTGCCACCCCCTGGAAAGACGGGCTCCCAACGCAGCCAGGTGAGGTGAGGCCCAATTGGCAACTCCTCCTTCTTGTGCTCACAACTGCAAAGCGGTCAGTGCCACAGGAACCTCAGCTATATTGGCAGCTTCTGCTCGGGGCACTCATGTTACTAAGCCAAGGGGAAAGTAGGCAGCAAAAGGATCCCCTCCTTCTACCCAGTACCACAGCAGTACCAGTGACCTCTGTCTTCCTGGTACTATGAGATGAATTTTGGAGTTATTTCACATGTTGAAACTGCTGAAGAAAAAGAACCAAATCCAACATAAATGTAAACAGTAGGTTTGAACAGCAGAGAGGAATTTTGGATGGAGGTTGAGGGATCAGCCTGCAAGATTACCTGGATAACAAAGAAGGAGACAGCTAACTGAAAATGGTGCCCAGAAAGGTGAGGGCTGACAAGCATGCAGCATATGGTATCAACAGCAGTCAAAGCACACACATGCTGGAGGCTGCCAAAAGCTAAACAACAGCATGCCTGCTCCACTGCTTCACCTACATGAAATGCAACTGTGCAAGAAACTGTTGTCTCACTTCCTCCCACTTTCTTTGCAGGCAGCCATCAGTAGATGGCTTTTCTCCAAAGACTAACAGCAGCCCCCAGAAAATTATGGAATAACATTGTATAGCCTCAAGGTGTGTGCTTCTATAAAGCATATATCCACACAGAAAGAACCAGAGGCTGAAAACAGCACTTCCCTATAGACAACACATGGCTTCACTCACTGAGAAAACTAGTAGGGCTGTTAGAAGAAGAAATAGGACAGGGAGAGCTATGCTCAGCTCATGCAGCTCTAATAAGAACCACTTTCTGAGCTGATAAGAAAAAGAAGCACTAATTTCGTAGGGAACAATGTATATTTCTTTAGATAATGTCTTTTTAATAAGAAAGAAAAATCTTAGGCTTATGTTATTTGTTATTTGACAAGGATAATAAAGACAGAACCCTGCAGGGAGAAAGCATGCTGTGGCTGAACTCCGGTTCTGCTTTAACAAAAACTAAAGTGGCACAGTAGTAGGAAACCATCCTGCTGTTATAGTATGCACATTCTTACTAGCAGTTTGCGTGCGGATTTTCTATTTGTTTCTCTGGTGTTCTGAATTGAAACACCTTTCTTTTTAGTCAGTAATTCCTTAAAAGCATTGCTAGTTTCATGTTTCAGAATGTCAAAACAGTGCAATAAGCATTGACAAGCAGGTATGAAAAACTCCATGAAGTGCAGCACTGCAAGGTGGCAAGAGAGAGTCACAAGTGTGCAAGCAACAAAGATAGGGTTTGATTTTTTAGATCTCCTGTAGTGAAATGCCATGAAAGAGTGGGATTGCAACACAGAGCCTGGGCAAATCTGAGCCATTTGGAAAGGGATTAAGAAAAATCAGAAAGCTGAGAATCACACAAATGACACTTGATCCAAGTTCAAAAGTGTTCTTCAATCCATTTTTTTGGAAAATGCAACTACTCTAATTTCATTTGTGAAGTTTAAAATGAGGTCATGCTGAAAATGAGGTCCATCATCACATTTTGCACATTTTGATTTATTTGTTGAGATACTGCCTCATTCCAGAGAAAAGTAACTTTGATTCCCTTTTTATTCCCAGACTCATTACTTGTGATGCAGGCAGATTCCACATGACAGTTTCTGCTCCCCGGACACATTCACCTCCTCCTTTCACTTTAAGGTGAGTATAACTTTCTAAAGGAGGAAAATGTTAAGGAAACAAACAAACAAGAAAACCCCAAAACTCAAGAAGTGTTAGTGCCTTCCAGTGACATATATAACAAGAAAATCATACAGAATCATACAATGGATGGAGTAGGAAG